TGGAAACAATTGTCTCTCACTTGGCTATCAATAGAATTTAGTTTGTGATGTGAACTGAAATACAATGACTTAAAAAAAAACAACCCGAATTTAGTGGCAACTTAAAGCTGTTCATTCCCCAAATGAAAAGTGTGCATGTTAACACAACCAAGAAATCTGTGAGGCTCCTTCACAGGTTTATCATGGCCCATATAGACAGTGCAGGCGTGCTGTTGTGTGAACAGATATATCCTTTAGACAGATGTGTTCTCTGTGTTCGTTAAAACTCAATAATGCAAGTAGATTGGTTTTTGGTGAATGAGTAAGCATATGCTACTTTGCTCAGCTATATCTGATTTTCCCCTTCCCAGCATTTCATGCTATGAATACTGTTCTGTGGGAATTCTGTAAGACTAGCATTTTGACCCGATTCTCTAATAAAATAGCCAAGCCTTATATGCAAATTAAATTTATGGATGTTGTTCTATTTTGGCATGCGTTCATCAGTTCAACAATATGAAGAGTCTATCAAGTAAAAAAAAAAAAGTTTCTTGGTTATATACACTATATGTAGAAATTTTTGGGTATTCCATATATGTGTTTCTTAGAATAAGTATATTTCTGTTCTTTCAAGTCAACCTGAAGGTATGTACTAGTCTCAGATCTTAGATTCATGTATCTATTCTAAAGGTAAACAAATTAGTCACCACTAATAGATCAGCATGCATTTCATGCTTCAATACATGACTTTGCTTTGACTTTTAAATCCTGGAAGGTTGTAAGAAAATATAAATACACCTGAGGCAGATCAGTGCCTGCAAAGAAACCTTTTTCAATTGAGAAAATAGAAAGATAAGGGATTGCTCATTAGGGAGATGCTTAGGGCTTTCTAGAAACATACAGGGAAAGCTTCATCCACTTTCTCTCATCTCATGTAAAAATGAGATGGATGGAATTTCTATTCAGAAACTTTGGTTTCTGTGGCATGTGTCTAGAAATAAGTTCAACCAAGGATGATGTGGCTGTAGCAGAGTCTGTGCTGCTGGAAATAGAGATGTCAAGTGTGGCAGGCACTTGCGTGACACATGGCTGTGCAGGTCCAAAGGGGCGCACTCTTGCATTGGCCAGTTACTTCTTTTAAGTATCTTGAAAGAAGTTAAGGTCTTCATATACATAAGAACTTTTCATGTGCATGTAACCTAAGGTTTTGATTGAACTGACTTTTTTTAACAGTAAAACTTACTTTATGGACTCTTAAAGTATTCTTTGTTCTCACTAAAGTTTCTTTGTAAACAGAAAAAAGGATATTTTTTTTTAAAAAAAAAGAAAGAAAAGAAAATACTCAAATTAATACAAGAAAAGATGCCATAATACCAGAATCAGATGACTAGTAGTAGATCATACAGATATAACTGTTGACACATTACAAAAGGGCCAAGTCCAAATAAACTACAGTTTTCCTTTCTTGTTATCTTTTTCTTTTCCTTGGACATAAAAAGAATACTTAAGCTGCACTGAAAAATATTTAAATTTGAATGGGTCTTGACCCCACCTGACAGGAGATCTTGAAGGTGTTGAATTTACCATCTTGCATCATAGATGAAAAACTAGACATTTGATTTTATTAATTCTTAACCAGCAGTTTAGTGAGCAATGTGTTGGTTTTGTATCACTGGTGTTCCTTTAACATCTATTAACTGCTTGCGTTCATGTACCATGTTATTATTACTTGTGATACGGTTTTTTCTTTATTCTTATTTTTTTAGACAGCTGGGAATTGCAGATAAAAGCAGGTAACACAGCCTTTTAGTGTTTTTCAGCATTTTTTGAGCAGAACTTGATTTTTTTAATTGCACATAACTTTGCTAAAATGAAAAATTTTATTCCAAATTATATATTAGCCACCATCAGCCTTTATATGAAAATTTTGTCGAGTATATTCATCTTCTTATAAAAAGTGTAACTTGATGGTATGTTTCCACTCTACTAGAGGAAAAACTCTAGCTGCTTTCTCTTAGGAAAATTCTTGTGACCATTTTGGGAGGGATCTGAGGCAGATCGTCTTCATTCAGTGTATCTTCTGTTATTCAGGTCTAAATTTATTTTATTTTGGCAAAGCTATTAGTCTTTGAATTTAGTTTAAAAGTCCATATTGAGCATTGATCGACTTTTGCAGTTAAAAGTTACAGAGATGTTGTATTGAATGTATTTTACCACAAGCTATAATGAGCAGAGCTCAGACCAGGGCTAGGATCAAGAACTTGGGCACAGGAAAGTGTTTTCAGTCCCAGTCTGATTTTTGTAACCTCTATAGGAGAATTGGGAACTCTTCCACTTTGTTTGTACCCAATAGACAAGGTGTAAAAAGTGCGTGAAAAGAAAGAAGTGTGGTGGAATTTAAGAATTGGAGTTGAGACCTGCCGAGAAAGGACCTTCTCCAGTGTCAGGATGCGGTGTGAGATGAACTGTGGTGCTTAAGTCTTAGTTGATAGTAAGTAAAATGCTTTTGGGCAGGATGGGGTGAAGGTGACATGTGGGACATGAACAAAGGTTGTCCCATACTTGCTGGATCTATTAGGATATATTAATTAGAGAAGGATTTGTCTTAGCATATTTATCCTGATCTTTGAGTGAACTGTGATTGTGTACTGATTGAAGCTCATGTCTATAGGATTTCTGCTTTCTTCCTGCCAGAACTTAGAAGGACATGTACTGATGAAAGTTAGAGAAACGTCCTCTAGTAGTATTCTGGCCACGCTGGTTCTACAGTTCCTATACAGTACAATTAAATCACTTCAATGTGATTTTCACAGTCAAACAGGCTAAATTTTTTTTTTGTTTGTTTTTTTGTAATGACCGTCTGGTACATGTAAATCTGATTAGCATCTACAAATGTAGCCTATGGAAGCAATGTTTTGAATATGCAAAGAGGTAAAAAATGAAGGGAAGCTCTGCAAAGTCAGGTTTTAACTGTGCTAAAAACTCCTGTATTTTTAATTCCTAATCTCCTGGCCTGAGTTTTCCATTGCATAAGTGAAAAAAATAATACCATGTCTCTGGGATGCTGTAAAATTAAATTAATGCAATCAATATGTTATGAAGGTTACTATAGAAAAATACCATTTAAAAATGGAATCATACTTCCCATCAGGGATTTTAACTAATGAACAATGGGATAAGATGTGTAGTCCTACAAAGAGCAGAGGAAAAAAAGGAACATAGGATAATGACTGATTTTTGTCAGCAGTTTTAACTTGCATGAGGCTAGTAAAAAAACTCATATGTGCTTTCTGAGGCTAACCCACAGTAGAATCTACCCAAACCAAAAAGCTGGATTAAGGTTGTGTGAAAAACATTGCTTCTAATACTTCCAAATTTGGGGTATTTGCTTTTCAAAACTAAAGCTAATTTTCCTGTGTAAATTGTAAGTAAATAACATAGTACTTAAACTTACTTGGAGGGAATTCTGTATTATTCACATTACTAATACTGAGAAATAAAAGACAAGGAGGCTTACTAAATGTGCAAAGCTTATTACCTGTCTACATCTTACCTTACTGTAGCTACCATAATTTTATCTGTATTTTAGAAAGGCTGTCTTCTAAAACACTTTTAGAAGCTTTGAAGAAAATAATGTCAATCTGAAAGACTGAACAATACTGAAATAGAATAGATATAACAGAAAATGGTACACAAAAAAAACAACAAAGATAAGTCAGGAGTGTGTGAAAAGAAGCACTGTCTTATAAAGCTGACTTTCATTCTGCTCATAACTGTGTGATTTTTTTTTTTTTTTTTACCATATTTTAGTGGAACACACATGATAAAGGAGTGATGAACAAGTAGAGGAAAACTGTGTGGCTAGTAATTCTTAATGTTCTGTGAACAAACCCAGTAACTTTTACTGTGAAGAGCCACATTAAATATGAAATTACTCAGTGTATAGAAAAGGACCCAAAGGTGGTAGCAGCTTGTTGCAACCCTACTGCAGATGTAGCAATCCCAACACTCAATTTAGAAGTTTGTCATCAGGAGTGATTTAATTTTGTCCTTGAGTGTAGTTCATTAATTATTTTGGAAACCTATAAGCCATTTGGCTACATCCAATAATGGGATTCATTGTCCTTGCATCAGAGCCTAATGCATAAATTTACAAAATTTAGAGGACTATAGAATGAAGATGATAGTAGGATCCTAGATAATTTTTTAACTTGTAATTCCAGAAGTAGTCCTCCACAGTCTTCTATAGCAGACACTAAGTAACACTGTGGGGGTGAGGAGAAGATGCATGGGTTTAAGGTAATGAGAATGTGTCTATGTCGAGGGAATATTAGTGCTCCTCAGAGAATGTCTCTCCCATTCAGGGGTAGAATTGTTTCCTTATACTACTACACTTCATCAGTTATTTCACCTATCCATGATACAATTTAAAGAAATAATGACATTTCAAAATTCCTCAGATTGAAAAATACTTATTCTCAGTCATGGAGCTCGGTATACAGTGAGTTTCTATGTATTGTCCACAAAGCCAAATTATACCACTTTAACAATTCAGTTCAAAAAAAAAGTAAGAAAATTTCCACAGGAAAAAAATGTTTATTTTGCTGTGTATTGTTTTTGTATGGCTTAGTATAAACTTGACACCAGGTCAGTTGTCTCTTTACTGTTATAATACAATTTCAAAAAAGGGGAGAAATAGCCCACAAATACCAGACCCTGAAATGTCATTAAAATTTGTCCTATAAAAACATGACCAGCTAGTCCAGTGAAACCATCAGCGGAGGGAGCAGGTACTCCTGAATTAGGTGTGCAGCAGGCTGAACTAGGACTTTGTGTGCTGCTACAGGTGGTAGAGTTGCAACAGCGGGCAAAAAGTCTCTAAGTGAGCTAATGTCGACTTTGCTTAAGAATCATTAACTAAATCCCTGTTTCTTTTCGAGAGGGCTTCAGCTAAAGCCATGTGACCTGATGTAAAACAAGATCATTACCTATCAGTGCAAACATATGGCAAAGTCTGCCCATGTTATTGCTTATCTCAAAGAGCGCAAGGGGGCTGTGACGTTTCAGGCAAAGCCTATTGGTGAGGGAGTTTCTATGTGAGCTTTCTTAAAGAAGTGCTTCCTTTTTAATCATCATACTGCGTGGGAAAGTATACTGAACATTTTTCTCTTAAGAGACCAGAAGATTTACATAATTCTTCTGATTCTATGGAAAGAGAAGAAATGCTGATACAACATTCTGTTATGGCTGTAAGCTTTGCATTTACCTGTACTGTGGAAAGTTAGTTTCCTGTTTTCTGAGATGCATTTCTCAGAAAAGGACGGTTTTGAAGATGACTTCAATAGCAGTGTTGTTGCTGTCCATGAAAGGGTTCCTTCTGGAATCTTGGTGAGTTTGACAGATTTATTGTTAAGTTATGGGTATATAATTTCATATAACACAGTTAAAATATAGAAAAAATGGACTACCTATATTTCATAGTATTTGTAAGACTTTAATTAAGCATTCAACACTCTTACTTTGTTTCCCTTTTTTTTTTTTACATAAGTGCTCTGGGCTGTAGTAGGAGTAATCTTAAAGCCCAATTAAAATCTTTACTTAGGCGCAAAGATGTTTTTATTTGCTTGTTTTTGCCGAGCAGACCTGATGCTTCAGTGGTCCTGTTTCACATGGTCATTATCCTCCCTCCCCCTCTCTCCCCCCTCCTTTTCAGGGTACAAATATAACTAGTAAAACACTTGCTAAAGGTTTTCTCTGGTTAAGGAAAGCTCCTGCCTCCTAAATATATATAAATGCAAATATAGGCAATATGAGATAAATTGAGGGAAACCATTGCTATGCATGTGTTTTGTTTCGTTTTCCACCTAATCTCTTGAAACAAATACAACTTCTTTACTGTTTACATCATGTGGCATTAGACTATCTTTTAATCCTCTAAATATATCTCAAAATAAATGAGATGTATAAGTATCTACTCTCTTGTAAGTGAAGATCTACTTTTAAGTAACTTTTTTTCAGTGATGGTTAAAATTCATGCACTCTGAAGCTGTGTCTCTGGAGCAATCTGATAGCTTGCCTTTGAATAACTTGCACTCTTACTTTTCTCTTGTTGAACTGGGCATTTGTAGAGTTCATGCTCATATGGGTGCACCTGTGTAAAAGGTGTTGGCTTTAAGAACACAAAAAATGTAGTTTACCTATACTAAAGCAGTACTCCAAACATACGGAAAACACAAAATCATGGTCAGACCTCTGATTATATCTTGCACTTGTATATTGATATTACTGAATAACAAAAAAATTGTTCAGGAAAACATGTTGATTTTGTAGCAGCCCAAATAATGTCTTTGCTAATGTTACATTGATATAATTCCTATCCACAAAACCTCCTGCTCAAGTTATGCTAATGTAAGCATTTCCTGTTGGTGAGTTTTGAAAATTTGGTCATCTATCATGTAGACATTGTTAGATACTTAATCTGAGCTGTAGTACTGTTTAGTCATTGTTTGAGAGCCGTTTTATTCCACATGAGGAAGTCAACTAACATATGCAGGCTTAATTTTAGTTTAAATGATTTGAGTATTTTATAGATGGAGGCACAGTATTTTATTTTTGGTTCTTGAACTTCCAAAGGAGATATTATTTCTTTTCTTATTTTGTATTTACTGTTATGCTCTCTCTCAAAAAAAAAAAAAAAAGACAGTTTCAGTTTCTGCCTTTTGCAGTATAATGGCTTCTTGCCAGAAAAAAATCTTTTTTATGATATAGGACAGAGACCCTCTTGCCCATTCCAATTACAGTTGCACTTACCTTAACAGTACTAATATATTCAGCTACAAGAATTTTTGCGAACTAGGTAGCATTGCATAAACATTCAAAATCAGTCTCTCTGGAGCCTCAGAAGTCACAAAGGTTCTTTTTTCTGCTGTGAGACCTTAGGTATTGATATCCTTTTAATTTGTTATCCTAGAAGAATAAGTAGTAGTTAGCTACATTAACTTTTATGCAGAGTTCTGGAATTTGACTGCATCAGGTAATGTGTAAACTCTGGATGTCAAAATAAATAAAACTTAAAAGCTAAACAGTATTATGAAATATTGCTGCATTGCCCTTTCTTAACTTGTCTTGGCCATCAGACTTATGTCTTGAATTGCAGAACTGGAAGTTGGCATGTTTTTTAGGTTCTTCGAGCAGGTTATGAAAGCATACTGCTCTCTGCTTTTCTCTGCTTTCAGGACAATGACATTTAGCAGATGTTTACTAAGCATGAAATAGTGTTATTGAGGAAATGCTTTATCTTACCAGTTATTCTATGAAAAGACTATTTCTATTGCATTTGCAAGAATTAATACAATAACATTTTATACCGTTTCACCGTTTCTCTCTATAGTCAGATTCAGTACTGCTCACCACAAACTTTCCAGCAATATACAATAAAAGTTAAAGGGAAAAAAAAAAAAACTCTCAAAATTTAAAAAACTCATTGCTGGGGTTCTGTTGACATTTGAGGTAAATTAAGCATCTCATGTTTTTCAGGTATGTAGTGGCACTTATTTCTATTTGATCATTTCCTTGCTACAGTTTGAGCCTTCTTAAATAACGTGTTTATCTTACAACGTGAACCATTATGTTAAAAGCTAAACTATAACCTGACAAACAGTAATATATATTAGTTTATGAGCTACAATATTTTTTACTTACAATGTACAAAACAATGTTTGCATTAAGACTTGGATCATAAAAAGCTTCTTTCCTTACAAACACTGGTTTTAATACTCAGTAGGTTCAAAAGTTCGTAACTTTTTCACACGTAAGAGATTATTTTGTTTATGTATGATCATAAAAGTGGTTGTGCTGTGAGCTACAGAAAGGTAACTGATAACTATGAAAGAGATAACTTTTGCTGTGGGAAAGCAAGAATATATATAAAATAGGTGAATACTTCAGTCTTGTTGGGGTTTTTTGGTGATTTTCTGTGGTTAGATGAGGTCAGTTAGTATGTATGTGAAGAAAACTAGATTATTTATCAACCAAACTCAATTCATAGCAGTTGGTGTGAAATTCTGATCTTTTAAACAGTTGCTAATAAATGATAGAGAACTCCCTCCTTACGTCCACTTCTCAAGTCCTGTTCACTGAAATTAAATATATGGAATGGAGACTATAATAAGGACATCTATTCCTGATTGTACCAAACATTTTAGCAAAGTCAGTCCCCTTGGTGACATAAAATCAACTTTTCTTTGTCAGCTGATACCATAGACTCCTCTTGGAAGCAGCCAAGTATAGCCATGAATGATAATGACTATGTGTTAGAGACTTTTTCCTAAGGTTGAGAATAAAGATGACTGTCATTGTAGGGGAAGACTAATTGCTTAAGCAAAAAAGCAGAGATATTTCCACCTTTCTGTCTTGGGTTATGGTTCTGTAAGATGAAGCAAATATCTCGCTTGTCAAAAGGAAGATGTTCAGTTCTCTTCTCCAGCATTTTTTTTATTCATCTCTCTGGTGCTGCTGTTGTGCCTCATAACTCTCTGGTGTTTGTCATGTTCTTCTTTGTGAGCTAATCTAATTTCCTAACCCACTGAAACAAACAACAAAAAAATGGGGAGACTTCTGCCAGCTGTATCACTGAGCTAAAATCAGCTCATTGGGAGGGTCAGAGGAGGAAAGGTTGAAATGAGACCTCCCCTTTTTAGCAAGAGTGAACTATTATTTCATTAGCAAGCAGCCAATTTTAGTTGTACATGAAACTGCTTAGAGATGAAACTGAATTTTATTAATCACTAATGTTGATAGGGAGTCCATTTTGCTAATCTCATTAGTCGCCCAGTGACACCGTTCTTTTTGTCTTCATCAACCACATTGTACAAAAGCTACAGGAGCAATTTCTCTTGCATGTTACCTAGCATAGTAATTCTGTGGATAATTTCAAAACAGTTTTAAATCTGTACTGGAAAACCCCCATATTCCTTTTTAAGACTTGTGGAGAGGAAAGATTTTTTTTCCTCCAAAAATCTAGATATGATTAGGTAACACGTTAGGCCTGAGAAGCCTGAGATGGTGAAAAAATACTTCTGTAGCTGCTCTAATTCTATGAAAGTAGCTTTAGATTTCTTGCATGTTTACAACTATATTGGTACTGTTAGATACTACAAAAGTAGCTTCCTTTTGAATGAATGCAATATATCCTGCATTACTGTAAGGAAGACTTTGAAGGCTCAGAACAGAAATAATTAATTACCTAGATAGTGAAATCAGTATCAGGAGGAAGAACTCTTGTAGTGCAATATGGTTTTGTTTAGAGGCATTAAGAAAATTCCTAAACCTTGTTCAGAGGCTAACAAAAATAGATTAACAAATAGACAAATTCATTCTTTTGTAGATATATTATCCCAAAATAGAATTTGTATAATTTAAGCCCTGGTATGCATTCAGTGTTGTGTGTTTTGCTTGTTTGTGGTGGCTCTTTGTTCTCTCAAATAATACCCTCAACTTCAGAGACATGCAATTGCTTGGATATATTTGGAATGAGTTTGTAGCAGTCTTTTGGGTGGGAGGGAGGAGAGGGCAGAATGAGGAAGGGTTGCACTTAAGTTTCCATTAGAACACCTTCACGGTTTTCCCTCTTCCTTTTTTTAAAGCTCTGAGAAATCCATGGACTTAATTTCTTATTGGCAGTCATAGTTCACATTTTATTCTTAGTTTGAAAGACTTGCAGTCATACAAAATTCATTCATTCACCTAAGTATTTTTAATTGATTAGACAATGTTTGATAAGTGATTTTATGTGTTTATCTTGTTTGCCTATAGCATAATCTTATTGTGTGCATCTTCCTTTACCTGTATTCTGTCCTGAACTCCACATTCTCATCTAGTAAGATTCTTTCACCTAGACTGCGTATTGTTCTTTTTCAGTTTTCTGATGTCAGGAGTATGAATAACCACAAAAAATTGTAAGAGAATTGTTTTCTCTTGACTGAAACTGTGAAACCTATGGAAAATAGTTACTGGATAACTCTTTACACTTAATATATTGCATGGGTGTGTAAACTTGGTTAAGACTTGCTTTTCACATATGAAAATGTAGTATTTGGAATTTAGTGTTTATTCTTTAGGTGTGAGTTCTGTGGAAATAATGGTTGTTAGCTGGTAACTCATCTATTTCTCCTGGACAACAAGTATGTTCAGGACAAGGCCGTGTTGCTACATTCACTGTGTTTTCACAGAGCAAACTTTACTTCGGCAGCTTATTTAAATATATGTACCTACAAGTGTCATTAAGCTGTTTAGAGAAGTATACGTTGTAACTATAGATGATACTTATTGTCGTTTCATTTAATCAAAAGTTAATGACAGCATCTCAGTAACTGAGTATCTGGCATCACCTACCACAGCTGCAAGTCTTGCTCATCTCAGTTTTAACTTGTGGAAGTCAATGGCAATACTTTTCAAGAAAGGTTTTTACAAGCTCGTGATTTTTATGTTGCAAGAAGTTTTAGTACTTGTTTCATGGCAAATAAATATACTGTTGGTGTGCTTTCCTTATATATGAAGAAAACTGGATTTCTTCCGTATTTGTTTTCTCCACACTCATTCTCAAACTCCTCTGTCTCCCATTAGATCTTTTGATAATTTCTTTACGGTGGCTCAGCCATTTTTAAAATATAGAGCTGTAAAGGAAGAGTTACATGTAGCACACTACATAACTTTTCCTGACTTTCAAGATTTTTTTGCATGCTTATGTAGTTATCTCCATTTTCAAGAGAGGACCAGTTGTATTAAATAGGCAGTCTTCAGAGAATTAATTTGTCTTTTTAGCTTATCTGAGTTAATAAACATCACTTGAATTGATGATTTGGGGTTCAAAAATTACATGCTTTAAGATTTACATCAAAATATTTAAATAATCATAGATTCAAGTTGATAAACTATTAAGAATAGGTTTTATAACTCTGGAGACTGTTAGTAATATAAGAATTGGCTCAAAATTCCGTTGACTCTTGAAGGCATTTGTGTAAATCTTGTTACAATAATCATAGTACCTGGTAAATGACATTGCACATCTATTTAGATGTTTTTTAAAAATTGATTTTAAAAAATACTTTTCGTGTTTTTAAAATTTATTTACTTGTTTTATTTCTTACTCTCCCTTAGTCTCAGACTATGAACTACGTAGGACAACTTGCAGGACAAGTCCTGGTTACTGTGAAGGAGCTGTACAAAGGCATTAATCAGGCAACCCTTTCAGGATGCATTGATGTCATTGTGGTCCGTCAACAGGATGGTACATACCAGTGTTCTCCTTTTCATGTCCGATTTGGGAAGCTTGGTGTATTGCGCTCTAAAGAAAAAGTGGTAAGTTCAGAAAGTGGGCCAAAACAAAGTTTTGAATACCAATGCATTCCCTTTTTTCCCACCCTCTTCTTTCCTTCCCCATCCCCCCCCATACCCAGTTAGCAGGCTGGTTTAGGACAGAACAGTTTTTCATATATGCTGTACTGAGTGGTTGTTTTGGAATGTAAAACAGAACTTCCTGTGTTAATCTAAGGACTCTACAAAAAAAATACTGTGAAAGAAAAGCTTTGACAGCTCTTGAGTTATGCAAAAAGAATAATACAAACATACAGACTTTACAATTGTAAAATGTTTACATGGCTACTTGTTTACTTATTTAAGTATGCTGGGAAAGAAATGCTTAATGCCATTTAACTGATGCCTGATGTTGCAAGCAACTATTTTTGGAATGGGTGGAGGACAAATAGAGCATGTCTTAAGGGTTGGTAACCTATCATAAATATTACTCCTTGTTAGCTCTGTTCAAGGCTGATATGCAGTAGAAAATAGAATTATTAATATCCACAAGCAAATAAAAACTGGGACTGAAGCTTCATACTTATGTGGGTGTATTTGAAAGAGAACCTGGTACAATTCCCTGTCCACCCAGTCTGAGACTGTGGCACTACCCAAGCAGATCGTCCTGCCATCCCCTTTCTATAGGCTTTAGTAATCGCACCTAGGGAGTGAGTTGTATTGGGTTGTAAATTTGACTGAAAAAGGGACCTATAGTGGGGGGACTTTATATTACTGTCATCAGGATGTACTCTGTATGGTAATATTGCCTGTGAGTGTGCTACCAAAGGATGGATTGATTTAAACAGATCATAAAACCTCAGGAGCTGTTATTCCTAAGAAGTGAAAAGACACTGCAGGAAACTATCCTCATCTTTATATTTTGGTTGTAAAAGCAGAATAAAGTGCAACCAAAAGAGCAGTTATGTTAGGGCATTTTTTTAACAGTCCATACTGGGAGTTACATGCATTAAAGTTGTAAGTTTGTCATAGTAACACAGGCTAGTAGCAGTTCTCTTGTTTCATTTTTTTTGTTTTGATGTCTCACTTGCTAGGGTTTTTCCTTAGTGAGCATGCTGATCACAAAAACTTGCTTTTTCTTAACAATTCTGCAACAGATTACATTACAGTTTTTCAGCAAGGCACAAGAGAGGTGGAATAGCAGTACTTTTTATAATGTCTAAGCAAGATACACTATTGATCTGAAACTTGAGCTTGATAAAAATCTTTAATTACACTTCTGAGAAGCTGAACCAAATTTGAGAGGATTTCAGTTTCTGGGTACCCCTAAAAAGCTGTTGAATAGCAGAATCATCTACTCTTGGTACCTGTTGTACTAGGCTGTCAGTGTAGTTCTTGGCTTTTGTTTGAGTGGATGGCTGCTGTTTATTGCTCCCTTTACCCCTGAAGTTGCCATTCTGAATTTGAGTGTTCACTCAATAATCAGTTGAAGGTTTGTTACGGCATTGTGTATGCATTTTTCTCTGACATGTTACGAGGCTAGAATGAATTGGTAATCTCAAGATGTATGGGAACACAAAATATGCATATCTGTGCTTCAGCTCTGTACTTAAGATGAATGCTGAAGTCTCCAGAAAACAGTGAGAGGTATAGCTACTAAAATTGGGGATGTTTGTCTAAATCATCATAAAGAAAAGGTTGAAAAAAAGAAACACTAAGATAAGTTTGTTTGGTTTTTAAATTTTTTTTTAAACCTTATGTTACTGAATTGGAAATTCAAGAAAATATTTTCAGAATAAACTGTGTTCAGTAGTGAAATAGGATTTTCAGTTCAAAACCATTCAGTTCTTGTGGGGAAAAAGAAAAGCTGTTATCTTAAGGATTTGGGTATATAGCCCCCATACATGTTTGGTTATCTACCTGTAATTTATCATCTCCTATGACTGTGTTTCCTTGGCTAATGGTTTTATTCTCATAAATGGGCAAATAATGGAGTGGATTAGTATATGTGGTTGCTCTCTTAGCACTGTGGTGGTATTTTTTTTTTCTTGGCAGTCTGTGTACTAATGTTAAAATCAGTCCTTTTTCCATTTTGACTGGGCATTTCATATCACAGTAGCTATGAGTATGAATATTCATATCACAAATACTGGCTGTATGGTTTGGGATGTAACTTTTTTCTTTTGTATTTGCAGGAAACTAGAACACGAGTAATGGGCATATTAGATACCTCATAGCAATTACAGTATTTAATTTGGTGTCCTTTTAATAAAAGTGCCTAAACTATATATCACCTGAAATGCTATTGGTATTTTCTGCAGTAAGGCAAGTTCATTGTGTTTCTATCTGACATGTATTCAATTATTTTTAATTAGCTAGGCTAATTGCAGATATACAGACACCATTAGATAAGCAGATTTACTGAAAAATAAGGTAACTTTATCTGATGAGTGAACACATTCTGTTTGCAAAAATTTAGAATGGACTTTAACTGGATGCCCAAGATTTCACAAAGAAGAGGAAGTAAAATAGTTGTATCTTGGTTTTAGAAGGACATTTGTTTGAGTTTTTTTTATTTCATACATGTGGGGAAGGGTAGTCTCTCCTTCCTGTGCAATGTAATCTAAGTTGAAGTACCTTTATGAGAATAAAACATTCTTCCTCTGATGAGAGCACTATGGTTGCAGAAGTGTTGTGGTTCTATGTCATATCCCCATGACCACGTGAGCAGGAAAATCTGAAACAGCGTTAACTGAGCTGCAGAAATAACTGTGGCAAATCTCTATCCCTTTGAAACAAAGCCTGCCTCCAGGAGGCCTACTGTTTGTCATCTTGAACTTTTGATGTTCAGGACTTGGATCCATACCTTGCCCCAATTCAGGTTGAGCTTCAAACATATGAAGATGAACAGTCTCAATCATTCTTCTAGAAAATAAAGACCAGATTAATGATTATTATTTATGCTTCTAGCTTTCCAAATTGGTTGAAAAAGATTAACTCTTCAGAGGTTTGGGGGTTTTTTTTCTGATTTTTTTTGGTAGGTGTTAGGCTCTCTGCTAGGAGCATGGTGTATTTTGCAGGTTAACAAAATAAAGACCATTATTATAACAGACTTCTTTCAAAAAGCAGAGGGAGGAGAAAGAGACGTGATTATACAATGGAACAAAGTTTACTCTCAGAGCTAATGGGCCTTGAAGTCAGTGCTTTCCCCTGTGATGAGTTATTTACATTAAATTGTCTCTTTCCACAGATTGATATAGAAATTAATGGCGATGCTGTTGATCTTCATATGAAACTGGGTGACAATGGAGAAGCTTTCTTTGTACAAGAAACGGAGGAGGAAAATGTAAGGGCTTTGTGATTCATGATGTCTACAGTGCAGTATTAACAGAGTAATGTTTTAAAAATCTTAATGTAGTGTCATCAATATTGTTACTTTAATGAAAGCTAGATTTTCTGTGACTGAATCTTAACATCACTTTCATATGTTGCCAAGATGCTTGGTGCTTTGTACAATTCTGCTACCAGTGATAATAAAGTAACTAATTCTCTTTTTTTATTAGAGTGTTCTTTGAAAGATTGGTTGAATTTCTAAAATTTATTTTAGTATAATCATTCTTGTTGACTGCAGTTATACAGTTTGCAGTGCCTTATAATAACTTTTGCCTTAAGTTCTTTTTGCTTGTGCTACTGACCTCTGTACTAATAAAGGTTTTCTATTTTGGCATATCTTTAATTTGCCTTATAATTTTTAGCACAGCTTTTTCACAATTTTATCTATGAAACTTTCACCACTTGACAGTAACGTCTTCAACTTGAGAATTTTTCTTGTATAATAATATGGTAAATAATTTTCCAATAATGTATTGCAGCTGGAAGCTAATGAGTCTCTGAAAACCAGGAATAATGGTTCATTTTTAGTCTGATTTCCTAAGGAGATGGGACCTATGTAATCACAATATTTGTCAGTCCTGAGCTTTGGTTTTGATCACTTGACTCTGTTGACATTTTTCAGCAAGACAGAAGGAAAAAAGTTCTAAATAGAAAGTTCCAAAAGGTTTAATGAAAATAGTGAGTCAGAGGATAGAGAAAAAAATTTTGTCTCAGTGACGTAAAAGATGAAGTGTTAATTTCCTGGTTTTAGGTCTTTCAGGGAAATGAGCTTGTTTTAGTTTAGGACACCACTTGTTTATTGTGAGGGATCAGAGGAAGCTCTCATTTTGAAAGGAGTTAAATATATTTTCAATTGGAAAGAGAAAATAAGCATTAAGACCCTAAATGATAACTTGGGGTAGGGATTCATAACATTTAGGAGAAAGGAAGGTTGGGTTCTGTTTTAGCATACACCATGATTAAAACTAAAACTGAAAGCAGTTTTTTTATAAACGTAGGCTGTGTCAACCATTGATGGGAACTGATCAGTCTTCAAGACTTTCAGAAAGCAAGGGTGATAACCATTACCTTTGTCACCAGTACAATGTTTTAAAGGAGGTAGTGCACTTGTTTAGTATATTTTAACTTACAACAGGAGTGCCTTATCTGTGTATAATGTAATATGGAAAGCTGGTAGTTCATGCTGAAACTATAGATAGTTAGCTACAAAGCAGAGGAGGACCAAGTTGCTTTAGTGCTTTTAGACATTTTTTTTTTCTCAGTATTTCCGCTACTGATCAACATGTCCTTATGGTCACCTCTTGAAGCTATGCTTAAGATAGAAGTGATAAAGCTCTCATCGAGTTCTCGATGGGTTCAGAAAGGTTCTCTCAAGTGGTCAGTCTTTGCTGTTTGCATATCTTGACATTCAGAAGTTAACACCACACACCTCAATTCATGTAAATCAGGGCTATTATAATGTAACTTTCAGGCATGATTCTTCAGCCAGTTTTAATTTAATTTTTCCTCTGTTTGTTTTTTTTAATTTTGTCTTGTTATTCTGGATTATCACTAATTGTATAGAATATTAACTTTATTTTAGGTGCTATCATTTTATGTGGAGGTTTTTCACAATGCAAAATCTGTGTGTCATTAGTATTTTATAATGCTGTATTTTGTTCTCCTTTCTCCACTTCCCTCTACCTTGTAACCAGTGGAACAAAACTTGGTCTGTAATTCTTAATTCAATGGAAAAATTTGTATTGAGTAATAGCAGTTCAGACTTTGGACACATCAAGAGTAGTATCAGTGCAGTGGCTGTCTCTGATCACAGTGTAGTTTCTGACTGGTTTCTTCATAAAAGTCCTGTAAAATAACAGGTATCTTATAATTAGTTCTGTTCTTGTCATGAAATTGAGCTCCATAACTTTTTCTCCTCACTATGCAAATTCTTTCAGTCTAGGTGTCAATATCTTTAAGTTTCTTGTTATGATGTAGCTAAACCCCAGGTAGTTCATTGGTAAAGCTTTTCCTTCATTTGAATTGTTCCTTCAAAGGGCAGAGAGTTGTAATTAATTGGGGGTTGTTTATTTGTTGGTTTAATGTGAGTAATTTATAGTTGAGTTCTTTTTGAAAGGTGCTTTGCATAAATAGTGTCTGACATGGATGACAAGACTAAATGCACCTTCACCAGTTTAGCGGGTGACACTGAATGGGAGGAAAGGTAGACAGGCCAGAAAAAGAGCCACCACATAGAGACAACTTGTCAGGCTGGAAGACTGGACCAACAAGATTTGCACAGTGTTTAACCAAGATAGATGTGACGGCCAGCATCTAGTTTGAAAGAACCCCCCCACAGCAATACAGGCTGGGGTCTGACTGGATGAAGTGAAGCTCTGCTGTAAAGGCTGGCAGTGTGCCCTAGCAGTGATGAAGGCCAATGTGTCCCAGGCTGCATCAGCAGGAGTACAGCCAGCAGATGGAGGGATGTGGGATTGTCCCACTCAACCTACTGCTTGTTAGGTCAAACCTGTAACACAGTTCTGGTCTACCAAGTTCTGGTCTCCCCAGTTTGAGACATGGAAAATTGGAGGGAGTCCAGTGGAGAGCCACCAAGATGATCAGGGGTTTGGAGAAGTTAACATAGGAAGAATGATCACTGGAATTGGCTGTGTTCAGCCTAGAGAAGAGAAGGCTCAGTGGGATCTATCCACAATCTTGCAACACCTACAAGGTAGTTATAGAGCAGATGGAGGCACTCTCTTCACAAGGATGCCTGGTGATTAGGGGCAAAGGGCACAAGGGGGAAATTCCATCTTGAGTATAAGAAAAATTCTTCACTGTGAGAACAATTTAACACTGAAATAGGCTACCTAGAGAAGTGGTAGACTCTCCCTCACTGGAAATACTCAATGTTTGGCTTGACAGGGCCCTGGATAACCTAACCTAAGGCTCTTCTTTTAACAGAATATTGGACCAGATGATTTCCAGATGTCCTTCCAACCTAGACAGGAGTGGGTTTAAGTAGCCTTTTTTTTTATTAACACATTTACTAAACATGGATAGAACTGGTATGCTCAAGGGCAGGTAATTTCAGAAACATTCCACTGACTGGTTATTTGTTTTGCTAGCAAAATCAATTGTATATGTTTGAAACTGTAAGAATACTAACATTAATTTTTCTGAACTTTTTATAATCCTTCTAGTGAACTTGGTTCCTTTCTGGATATCAACCTCCTGCCACTGGGCTATTGTATGGTTTCATATCTAAATATACATACAGGGATTAATCTGTGGTCGACAACTATCCTGTATGCACAAAACAGAGTAAACAAATTAGTCTGTTCTTTGTTTTCTTTTTTTGCTCAGGAAAAAGTTCCTGCATATTTAGCAACATCTCCAATACCCACTGAAGACCAGTTTTTTAAAGACACTGACAATCATTTGAAATCAGGTGAAAATGAGAGGACATGTGCAAACTCAGAAATTCCACACTCTGTGGAAACAGAGACTGTATTCACCCCAGGTTCTGTGAAAAAGAAAAAAAGAAGAAGAAAGAAATACAAACAGGATAGCAGGAAGGAAGATCAGATCTCTTCTACTGGGACTGAAGAGATTTTTGAAATGGAAATAAGCTCAGATGATGAAAAAAGTGTTCAACCCCTAAGGTAAACATGCCAAATGTTTAATTGTTGCTGAACAGACCATGATGCTTCCATAAAGGTTACTCTGGTTTTATTTTTTGTACCCTTTAGAATGAAAGCTTGAAAAGGTTTTTTATTTGTAAACCACATTTTTTTAGATATATAAACAGAAACAGCAGTAGAAATGCATTCTCGGTCAGAGAAGGGTGTTACTATGTGAAAGGAAGAAGATTTTGTAAAGGAATGCTGTTCTCTTGTGAATAGCAAGTAAATGCAGGACTGAAAAAATACTTTGTAGTAATGAAAGCCCAGAGACAGTAGGTTCATGGCTACGTAGCTGTTATTAGAGTTCATACAGAGTCATTCCAGAGGGCTACCAAGGCAGGAAATAAAATGTCTTGGAAAAGGCATACACCATTTTCTTCCCAGCTAAAGATACAGTTGTGGAAAAAAGTTCATAAGCTTTCTTTTCACATCCTGTGGGGATGTAAGGTGATATCAACAAGTTTGTTTTATTTTGGGGTTTGTTTTGGATTTTTTTAGTTATAAATGTGTAGCTCTGGAAAAAAAAAAGAAAAAAAAAAAGAAATAGAAACTTATCTATTATTAGACATAGCTTCAGATTTCAAATTGAAACTGGGAAAGGAAAAGGGAGACTGATGTTCCAACAGGAAGGTCAAAAATTCAGCCACAGGTACCAGTATGTAATGTCTTATCTAGTTCTATTCTTATAAAGTGGAAAATAAGCTGTTTCCTGTTCCTTGGGAAAATCCATTTCCAAGTGTTTATGCAACTTTTCTTAAAATATGGCCTCCTTTGTCTTTTCTAGCTATGATTTAGATATGTAAATATTTAGATTTTATTAACATATTTTAGTAGATAAAGTTAATTTTTCTACAGATGGAGAAAAAGAAAGACTTATAATTTTAGCATTACAGAAGTAGTCCAGTGCAACTCTGCTGCTAATGGAAGAAAAATAATTTCTTTTTTCTTTCATAATAATATCTTAATTAATATTGCATTTTGCACTCAAATTCCAGGCTTGCCTTCCTTATATTCTATCCACTCTGTAGCCATGGTGCCGTTGATCTAACCCCAAAAGAAGTTAGTTGCATCCTGAGAATAGGTATTTATTCAATTAAATTCAGAAAGCTCTAAAAGGATCTGAAGCACTTATGATGGAAATATTTAAAAGGAACTTCAGTGTAAAGCACAATACATGCATGCTTAAAGGGTCTTACTGTTTGGGTTTGGGTTTTTTTTTTGTTGGTTTTGTTTGTGAGGTTTTTGTTTTTGTTGTTTGTTTGTGTGGGGTTTTTTGTTGTTGTTGGGGTTTTTTTGTTTGTTGTTATTTTTTGTTATGGATAGTGAGTAGACCTCCCCAGTGCAGAAAAACCCAACAAAAATCCACTGTTCGGAAGAGTACAGTACTTCTAGCTACTTGTCATTTGTGGTAATTTGTAAACTTGTGGGTAAATTGTGAGACTTGTACCTAACCCTGTTTTCTTACTGTTTTTAAGTTGTGAAATGTGCATTCAAAGTGCATTGTCGAAATTACCCTTTCTATTTAACTTTTTCTGTAATTCTAAGGTTTACATGGTGAACGTTATATGTACATCTTTATGTTCATTTTTGGTTTTTGGTAGTATTATTTGGCTATATAGAATGATATCACTTATGCTATTGTGACTTACTATGTGTCAAGAGTAGTAGATTTTAAACTCTTGTAATATTTTCAGGTAGTAATATCTTTTATATACATTTTATGTATATAAAATACATTTTATAAAGGTGTGTTGCAAAATATTACTTAAGCTATACACTTCTTCCTTTTGATTGTGGATTTTTAGTAACATATAAGTAACTTAGTAATGCAGATTTCTTATAGCTGACTTATTTAATGTCTCATGTGTCTCTGCAGAGGATCATCAAATTCATCACCAAAGGGTGAAGAGCAAAAAGAATCTTTGATTTATCACTCGAAGGATCATTACCCCTTATCTGATGGAGACTGGTCCCCTCTGGAGAAGTAAGTCACTTTGTGATGTCATCATATGTATAATGATGAATAATTATTAGAAAAATTCATGTGCCTCCTTATTAATTTTTCCCCCCAATCTATAAAACTATCAATCATGTCCAACTTTTGTGATATCGAATGCAGCATTTGATACTTACTTGGAAATTTGGGAACTTTCCTCTACTTTATCTTTTTTTTTTCTTCCTTTTTTCCTCAAATAAAACCCCCCACTGCTTATTAAAAATCACTGTTAAAGAAAGAAAATGCAGTTAAGAAGATTTTCTTAGGTTGAGAAGAGTATGAAAAATTAATATGTTCCCTATGATTCACTCTAGCATAAGGAACACTTGATATGCCATAAAGCAGAATTGTTGAGTATGTAAGTTAGCATTTGCCAGGTGAAATAATGCAAATTACTCAAGGTAAAGCTAGGTCCTAAATTTCAATCATATTCCATTTCAGAAGAGAGGATTTGCTAGTTACTGGAGTTCTGGTATCTCTGGATATTCCTCTTTCAGTTTCTAGATTTTTCAAAGCTCACCCTTTGGATTTTACCACTCTAACATCACTCTCTATTTGCATAAGAAAGCTTTCTGTCCATATGTGGTAGTACTTGAAGTAAATTTCACATTTTGTCTGAACATCTGGCGTAAGAAAAGGCATATATATATATATATAGATATATATATATATATAGATATATAGATATAGTACATAACATGCTGAGCAATATCTTTATTCATCTTAACTCTTTGGTGAGTGTCTAGTTTTACTGTTTTTCAATTTGACCGAGGACTCTACCTCATAGCAGATACATTCACAGTGTCAGTGAGAACTACTGGTCAGCCTTGTGTGATATCTACTGTTGCACGTTAGCTGATCAGTGCACAGGTGCCTGTTCTTCTGTATCAATAGCTGGTAGTGCAGAATAGAAGAAATTAAGGTTCAGAAAATACTTCTTGAAATGCATATAATACCTCTGCTCTGGGTGTTCCCAGGGCTGTGACCTCAGTAGAGTCTGAATCTACCACACCATGCTTGCTGCCTGCTAATTCCCCCAGTGCATAGCTTGTTAATGAACAGAAGCAGTTGGACAGGAAATCCCATTATCATTCCTTTTTATGTTTTGGGCTGACAACCACATCCTCAGTTGTACTTAATGAGATGTAGTCTTCAAATGTTCCCCAAAGGTTTGTGGTTTGTGACTGAAAAGCAGTCACAGTGTTTGACCCTGAGGATTGACATGGTGGTGTATGGATTATATCAACTAGCTAATTGTAGCATAGAGTCCTTCATCAAGGTAGGCTGATACTCCTTTTCAGTTTATAGAGCTCTAGCTAACACAGACTAGCATGTTACATCTGGGAGACATAGTTCATCCCTTTCAATGCTGTCTCCTCTCGTTTACGTCTTTTAGGGGATAGTCTGCTCTAACAACTTGACTGTGCATCTTGTGAGATACTTAGTCCCTTTATGTTTTTTTTTTATGTTTTGTTTGTTTGTTATAAACAAGGAGCTATTCAGTACTGCTTACAGTGTTAACAGAGAAATTGGCAATTTTCCTTTCCCTCTTGGGGGCGAGGGGGATGTTAGGTAGGGGATTCTCTCTTTAGAAGATGAGAAATTATGCATGAAATTATTTCTCCTAAGCCACCAAAGAAAGATTCTATGATGTAGCCATCATATAGTAAAAGAGAAATGTGAGGTTTTACTAACCTCCTTTTTGGAGAGCTGGAAAAGCTTACTGACTTTTAGTTGAGGTTGGTTGCCTTGCTCATCAGAAGGGAAGATAATAGCCCAAGTCTTTTCAATGAGGACACTGTTTGTCCTGCTCACTATAATAAAAGCAAAAACCATACCCATTAACTGTTTGATACCTGATACCCTCACTGCTCTTTCTGTTTTTACAAGCAATGTCATCATGACTACATCACTATTACAAGCATAGGCCTTTTGACTAAAGACTTCTCCCTGAGAATGATAATGGAATACATATGCTTGGGGGGGGAAATGGGACAGACTTACATTCTCAAAGCCCCAGAGTAGTCAGACTTTTGCAGGTACTGCTGAATATTAAGAATTAGGCTTAGAAACAGATTAATATGTCTACATGGCTTCTGATTGACTTGTGATGTAAGCAGTACAAATTATTTTGCACATAGGGAAAATGAGTTCATATTCTTCCTGAAAACAAATACGTACATGTATTTTCATCAATGTGTTACTTTAAATAAGCGGTACAGAAACATAATTTCTGTAGGAAATTTTTAAAGGAGAACCGAGGGAGGAAATCTCTAAATGGTTTCCTTTTTGTGTCCCTGGGTGATGAAGGCTGGAAGTTGACAGTGAGATGATGAATCACCACTGTAGACATGTTTAAATGCCCTGCTATCTTGGATTTTATGGTGTCCCTCAGAGTAATATGAGGAATTCTTACTGTTTGGATGGTGATCTGATCTGTGTATTGTCTATTTTTACAGTCCAAATTTAGTCTGTTTAGTCTTGTATGCTATTGCAAAACCCTGGCTCCACAAACCTCCAGAAAGTTTCAGATATGATACTACATTAGATAAATAATTCTCCCAGGAATTTTTTAAGGAGAAAAAAAAAATCCAGAAATTAAATACTTGTAGGGATTACTGTAAAATTTTAAGTATTAAATCACAGAACAGCCCAATTTGGGAGGAACCTTGCAGTATCATCTGGTTCAACCTTTCATGGGAAAGGGAGACTAGATGAGATTATCTAGCACCCTGTCCAGTCACAAATTGAAAACCTCCTGTGATGGGGACCACTTTCCTGAGAAGATTGTTCCAGTGAATAATTATTCTCACTGTAAAATTCTTTCTTATATCAAGATGAAACTTATCCTGGTGCAACAAGACAAGCATGAAGCCCTGCACCTGGGACGACATAACCAAAGAGCCCAGTACAGGCTTTTGGGTCTGTGTGGCTGGGGAGCAGCCTTGCTGCCCTGGGGGTGCTGCTGGACAACAACCTGGACGTGGAGTCAGCAGGGTGCTGCTGCAGCACCAAAGGCAAACTGGATCCTGGGCTGCATCCCCAGGGGTGTTACTGTCAGGGGTGGAGATGTGATCATCTCTCTCAGTGCTGGTTAGGCCACACCTGGAGTGCAGTGTCCAGTTCTGGTCCCTACAATTCAAATTCAAATATTGAGGTTTATGTATATTTTAAAAAACAAAACAGCAAAACCAAAACAAAACCCAAACAAAAACTCAAACCAAAATATACTATTAATGTCAAAGTCTAAAAAGAACAGCATTTCTATAAAATGCAATTGCCCTGTTCAAGAAAGGATAGACTTGGACCTGTCTCAACACTAAACACTACTGAAAAACAACCTCTTGTGTTTCCTTTCGTCCCTAAAATTGTAAGAGCCAAATGATTTTGAAATCACGCCTTTCTAGCATTTTGTAGAGGGAGTTCTTCTGGCTTAAAAGTAGTATTGGGTAAAGTAAATTTCAGAAGTTTGTTTCTGATTTATGGATAATAACCACTGAAGGAAAAATAGGATGGATTTTAAAAGGTCATGTAGTCCAAACACATATGGAGGAAGTTTTCAAGTAAGCTCCTTTCCCTCTCCTAAGTTATCTTATTAATGTTGTTTTCCATGCATTGGGAATTGGTGGTGTTTTGTGCATCTGTAAGTTAGGTTTGCAGGACTGTTGTTACCCAAGTCTTGGTGTAGCAAGCTTAAATCCTATATTTTTATAGAGGAAAGGAAGTTAAAGCTAATTTCTGTCTTCATTTTAGATAAGCTTTTTTGATTTGTTCTGTTTTGTTTCAAAAATGGAACACAGGATGAAGGGAGAGCTATACCTACACTGCAGATAGTGGAGGAATCTGTTTAGGGTGATTGCTATGTAAGTCCTTTAATGTGATTTTGGTTTTAACCTAATTTCTCACTGTCTGAAAACCCTGCTGGGCTTCTTGCCATGTTGCCGAATAATTGAAGCTCTGTTAAGCTGTAGAAAACTCTACCAACAGTAGCTGCACAACAAATGCATTTTAAACACTAGCTTTTTTTTGTTGTTGTTGTTGGTTTGCTAGCCCTTTCTCTGAGCCAGTCTGCCCTAAAAGTGATTCAGAACTAGAAGTTAAACCAGCTGAGAGTTTGCTCAGATCTGAATCTCACATGGAATGGACATGGGGAGGATTCCCAGAATCAACCAAGGTAAATTTATTTATTTTCTCTAACTTTGTGAACTGAGTTTTGGCGTATCTAAAATCGTGTCCCAAGAGAGGGTTGGAAATCTGCTGCTGTTGCTTCAGAGTAATTCAGCTGACGTGGGGAAGTAGCACCCCCTCGTGGCTGGCAGCTAGTCGGATTTGTTGACTTCAAAAGCAGGTCAGCAAAGTAGTTCCAGAAAACCTAGCAGTAAAAATCTGAAATTTTTGAATTTTTAGGTATAAACTTAAGAAAGAAACTTTATAAATTAATTTCCTTTATTTTAGGCTAAGTTCTAGTTCATTCCAGAGGAATTGCAGCCTTGATGGTATAAATTTAGTATTTTGCAGGACAGGTGGTGACAGAAGCCCTGGTATGTCCACACTAATGCTTTTTTTCCTGCCATGGTTTGGTCAAGTCAGCACTTCCTCTATGCCAGTTTCTTTACTGAACTTGTAAATAAGCTAGCATGAAGCTTCTGTTGCAGGGAACTTTGTTAATAAGGTGTGACATGTTTTATGTTGCTGAAATACATGTTTATATTCTTACCCAGCTTACTTGTGACCAGGACTTGTACTCATAGTACAAGTTTAATGATTAGACCGGAATAAAACAAACATGTGAAGTGAAATGATTGACTAGAGTTTTGTTTTTCAGATAAGCAAGAAAGAGAAACTGGAACATCCCAGAACAGCTACCATTACTCCCTCAGAGAAGACTCATTTTAGGGTCATCCTCAGCTCTGATGAAGTTGAAGATGATGATGATGTGAAAGATTCTGTCTGTACAGTACTGAAACCTGAGCCAAGAACTCATCCTCTACTTAAGCAGATGGATGTTAAAGATTCTCTTGCTTCTGCAATCACAGAACCGCAAGATCCATTGCCATTAGATGCTGATCATCATTCCAGACTATTGGTGGACCCTTTACCAGAAACAAAGCCAATAGCAAAAATCGACTCTCCTTCAAAAAAGAAAGGTATGTGCTAAAGCTGTTGATTCTTTCCTTCAGTGTAATCTACTGAATTTGAGGCCATAGTGGAAGAGGTATAAAGGTGCCTTTTCAATTTTTCCAATTTAGTCTTATCTGACTAAAATGATAGTTAAAATCTTTGATTTATAAATGCTCCAAGTAAGTCTGAATCTTCCACAATTATGTTTGTATATAATGTGTCTGGGTAGCTTTATCTTAGTAATCTTTATTGCTAAAATTAACAGGTGTGCACAAGCGAAGTCATCATCAGGGGCCTGACGATATTTACTTGGAGGACCTAAAGGCTTTGGAACCTGAAGTTGCAGCACTCTACTTTCCCAAGAGGTAATTTTGAATTAGGGTTCTGTAGATCCAGGGTTATACTGCAGCTGCAGTTTGTGAGTTATTACATGTATAATTTAGGTGTTTATGTACCAGTTCTGTTAAAAAGAATTGGACTTCAGGTTTCTAGGCTTTTCTGGAGTAATCAGTACGGATCTCATTGTGACAATCTGTGTCTCATTTGACAAGAAACACATTGAAAGGTCACATGGGAGGTCATTACTGAGAGTTTTCATCTCTGTGGAACCTGTATGTTCTGTAAATATAGGTGGGGGGTAAGTTTAAACTGCACACTCCTTTTGCACCAGTACTCAATTTTGCCGTATTGTTAGCTCTAGATAAGCACACTTCAGTTTATTTTTTGCATGCCCTGTACATCCATTCTAACCATTTTTCATATCAAAAAAGACTAACAAACAAAAATCCCGTAAGATCTTCGTGCAAGGCAGCTCAGTCTCAAAATCCACTCTTTGTTTTTTTCATGAAATCAAAGCATTTCATACTCCTAAAATACTCTTCAAAAGAATAACTATCTAGGAAGACATTTGTAAAAATACAGTTTAATAAGGAAGTAGTGTCTTTTGGTTTATATTAAAACTAAAATTGTAAACTTTTCAGTACTTACTGATTATATTACTTGGGATCAAATTAATAACTCTAACCTTATATAACAATCTGGTATTTTTTGACTTAAAAGGCCACCTTTCTTTTCTATTGTACTTTTTCCAAACATGCAATGTTCTAAAAATATAAGCAATGTCCTTTTTCCTTTCATTCTTATTCTACAGCTTTCTGGTAAAGATTGAGGAGCATAGTATTGTTCTGCAAAAATAGAACATAGAGGTTCTTAGTCTCATTTAAATCCAATTTTGTTGCAGGCAAGAGAAATGTAATTATTTCCTAGTTTAGGTGCATGTTAGGAGCACTGGAAACTGTCATCTTCCAGTATTATGAAGGGTTGAGTGTGTATATTTGTGTCTGGTTTTTGTTTGGTTGTTTTTTAATTTATGTTGTAAAATGATGTAGTACTTAAACAACAGCAAGATAATTTTTTTTGAGTAATCATATAGTGTGTTCTATAACCTAAAATCTATACCTTTTTTTGCAAGTGAAATATTTACGGAAAATGTGGACTTCTTTTCTTTAGTGATTCTGATCCAGGCTTCAGACAGTGGACAGAGTCAGATACCCTTTCTGGTTCCCAGTCACCCCAGTCAGTGGGAAGTGCTGCTGCTGACAGTGGTACAGAGTGCATGTCTGATTCTGCTATGGACTTGCCTGATGTTACGCTTTCACTTTGTGGAGGTCTCAATGAAAACGGAGAGATTTCTAAAGGTATGTGAAAGACCAAAACATAAGCAGTAATAAAGCTCAGGCAGCTAAACAAGTGAAGTGGCTTGAATACTCTGATTTCTACCTTGCAAAGTTTTGGCTTACTATTATGCTCATGTTGAGAAAAGGGGATGGATAATATTTCATTTTCTAAAATTCTCAAGCATTTGCCAAGCAGAGGGAGCAGAATTTAACCTCAAACTAATCAAGAGCACTTGATGTCTTGAGAAACTTTGTCTCCTGTTTTGCATTACAAAACAATTACAAAATTTTGCAGTGATTTCTGACCAACCACTCTTGTTTCTGGCTGCAATTACTTGCTTAGTGCTATATAAATCTTCACAATTCATATTCTTTCCAAGTGCCTGATAATTTTTCTTCTTTTCTGTTTTTTTTAACCTATTAAAAAAAACTTTGTCTATTATGTTGGACTATCTTTTCTCCTGCTCTACTTTTTCTGTCCTAAATGTTTGTTAACCTTTAGATTTTTACCAGCTCATTCTTCTCTCATAATATTCTGGTTAACTGTAATATAGCAGTTGTATGCCTTTTTAAGGGAGCTTATAGCAACACATCTCCACAAACTGCAACATTTCTAGTATTTTAGTATTACTTTTTTAATGATCATCTAGTCTCTAGTGCATCAAATGAAATTTAAATGCTTGTTAATAAAGGCTCAGAACAGCTCTCTTGGTAATGTGGTAGTAGTACTGGATTTGATTTGAAAAAATTAAGTCTTCCATGCAGGGGTCTTACACTAAATCATGAATTTCTGCAAACTTATAAAAGTTTATAGTCACTAGTTATGAAAATGCTGTTAGTAGTCAGTGATTAAACAAACTTGAAAAGCTGACAACATCCTTCCCCCTCCCTTTTTAGTGTAGTATGTAGGCCTCTTACCTGCCATAATAATTTTTGAAGAAAACTCGCTTAGACAAGCATGGCACTCTCTTTCCAGCCTGCAAACTGAATTAGTTCCTACCTTCTTCTTATCCTCCCTCTTATAATTTCTTAATTCTCATTACTGTGACTGTTGAAGTGCTATGAGGCTTCCCCTGTTATTGAGGAGACAGTCACAAGACTCTTGACAGGTAGACCATATCCTGAGTGATGTTGCAGGATCAGCAAAGATTCTGAAATGACAGAAAGCATTTTTCTAGATAAAAACTAATCAGACATCTTGAGATTTAATATTATTATTTTTAATTAAAATCTGCTTCTATTGCAGAAAAATTCATGGAACATATTATTACTTATCATGAATTTGCTGAAAACCCTGGACTCATAGACAATCCTAATTTGGTAATAAGGATTTATAACAGGTAAATTCTCTATATCATGTAATTAGGTCATAGAGGGTCTCATTTAAAATCTGCCCTTTAAAGTGAGTGCATTTCTCAGCTTCCATTGCAATTTGTGGTTTTGATGGATCTGTTTCTCAGTCTCAGAGAGAATGATTTTGAATTGAAGACTTGCATTAAATTTAGCTTTAACTGAAGTGAGATTTTTTTTCAGCAATTACCCCTGATGGGGAACTGTATATCTTAAAATAACTCTGCTTGCAGAAAATTTTAGTATTAGTAGTTGGCAGCAAATACATATTCTCATCAATAAAAGGGCAGTTTGCACACTGATATTTATTGACCTCCAATCAGGTTTTGTAATATCTTATCAATAACATGTTTTAAAACAGGTATTATAACTGGGCGTTGGCTGCTCCAATGATTCTGAGTTTGCAGGTGTTTCAGAAGAGTTTGCCTAAGGTAAAGAGATATATGTATACTTTTTTGGAAGATTTTGTATGTAGTAACAGTTGATTATCTCTTTATTTTGTTTTTTCTATACAAATTAAAAACATGCCTAATTTTTCAGGCTACTGTTGAGTCTTGGGTCAAAGAAAAGATGCCAAAGAAGTCTGGCAGGTGGTGGTTCTGGCGCAAGAGAGAAAGCATGACTAAACAGGTAGCTGAAGCCAATTTTTTTTTTTTCTTTCTGTCCTTACCTGTTAGAAGTTGAAAAAATTGTAATTTGTCAGAAAGGCTTCAGAACGCTGCTCATATAGCTCTGTGTCACTTAATTGCCAGCTGAGAGTTAGTGTTGCTGTAGCTCCTTTAAGCCATAAGCAGTTGTCAGAGCTATTCTTCAATCACTACAGTATGTTCTAGGAATGTATACACAAATAATTAATGAGGTGCTGTACTGCATAATAGATGTTATACTGAGATACCCCATTTTAGACTAAATTAAGCTTTCTAAACTTTGAGTATGTGCCTTAAATTTACTTGTGCACCAAAAAAGTTAATTTTATAAGCTTAGAGGTTGACAGCCCCTTTACTGCTAAATTCATCCTGTTTAACTAGCAGTTCTCCACTTCTGGCATGCAGAGTTTTGTTTCCTGAAATAATAATCTGTAATGGATCATTCCTTCTTAAGCATCCTTTTATTAAATAAGTTACAGAATGAGCAATTCTGAGACCTAATATAGTTTATGTTCTCTACTGATAGCTAGTTGCTTAAGTGCTATATATTCACTTGGATTCATTTAAAATGCTTTAAATGTCAATGTTTTTTATTATCATGTTGCTTTAGATACCGGAGGCAAAAGAGGGGAAAAGTGAGACACAAAGAGCAAATGAACTGCCAGCAACTATAAAAGAGCAAGTTAATAGTAGGTGTGTTCCTGTCTGAAGACTATTTAATGGACTGAATAGTGTCTTTTTTCTTTTTATTTTTTTTTTCTTCTTAAATGAAGAATTCAGTAGGAATTTACTGTGGGAAGAAACATTTTCCTCTAAGCTACTGAAGAGGAACCAGATGTGTTTAACAAACAATTCTGCAATGTAATGTGGCAGCAAACACTTTGGGAACTACAAATACACTACAATTATTTCCTAAATCCTATTGTGTTTACTTCTTAAATCGTAACATAACTAACATAACAGCAAAGACATATATGGTAACCTTTAGCAATGGGCCACTACTCTGTAAATATATTGGTATTGTTTCTGAGATATTGTTTGTCTCTTTTTTTTTTTTTTTTTTTTTTGGTAAAAGCCTAATATTGTGTGAATAATTTAAACCATGTGCATTTTTTGTAACATTAAATAATTGAAACAATAAAATAATATTAATTACAGTACACAAGTTGCCCAAGATTGTGGTTGAAAACTAGCAATATTTACACAAAACTGTCCCAGCCTAGGTAATTTATTATGCATATTCAGATTCTCCCATGGTTTTATGAAGATACTTGTAAATGATGTTGGTGTCTTAAAGATTTTAAAAAGTAAATATATTGTGATTGAATACTTCAGAGAAATTAAATGCTGCTTTTAATCTTGAAATCTCTAATTAGCAGAAAAATAAATTTATGAATAACCTTAAAAGGTGAGCTATTCCACTAACGTGTCACCCACAGTTTAAATTATGTAGTAACTGTGGCAGCTTTTAAAAAACAAAACACTGTTACTCATTCAGTGTCCCTTTTCATCTGCAGTTTACCTAATTCATCAACACAGTATTAGTGACCACTTGACACTGTGTCTTTACTAAACCCATCATGCGTGGAGCCAGCTAGTAATAGTAATATTTAGAGCTCCACCAATACTACCATGCATTACAAGTCTTACTTGCTTATTGATACGTATTAGCTTTATCTGGGCATTCACTAGACCATAGACTTTGTTAATCTGTGCTATCAGGCTAGTAGCAAATCTTCAACATAAGCAGAAATTATTCTTGCGTAAGAATGTTACACCATTAAAGAAGGATTTTCTGTAGCTTACATTTATTCTGGTTGATGTCATGTTAGACCTCCGGAAGATGACTCTTCTAGTGACGAAGCATCACAGGAGTTGAAGGAATCCCTGAAAATAGATTCTGCCCCAGTAGAGCATCCAACCCATGGGAACGTTACTTCTTATAAGAAGTCACTTAGACTGTCTTCAGACCAAATAGTAAGTGGCATGCCTTTCTTGTACATAGGATGCTTCATAATTCCACTTTGGTTCTAAGAGTTGGACATTTTCAGATTTTTGGAAGTGACATGTAAGTACATTTCACAAAGTGAAAAATTATCTTTGGGTTACTTTACTAGTGGTAGTAAAAATTTAATGTAATGTAAAATTTAAAAAGAAATTTAAAGTATTTTCTCGTGCTGGTGTGGGCAGCTGCAGGGATTTTTTGATTGATTTTTGTGTATCTTTTTTAAGAATCTGTGTTGGAATTTAAAAATAATAATAATTTCTTACAAAGTTCTATAATCAAACTTTTGTATTAAGATGTTGCCAAGAAAGTGACATTGTTGGCTTCTACAATTTGGATATCCTGGGCTCTGAACAGTCCAATAATGTACATTTAAATTGGTATGCAGTTTACTCATTGCAACCTAACATACAAGTTAGTTCTGCTACTATGTAAATGTCTGATTTTAAACCAGGGAAGAATTTTAAGGAAACCATCCAATAAGTGGAAAATATTACTCCATACTATAGCAAACTGGGAGTTCCATTCAATAGTTCTGTAATTCTACTGTAATAGCAAGAATTACAGTAGCAGAAAGAGAGTAAAATATCACTGCTGTGAGCAGATACAGGAGCTATGGACAAATACGTGTACCCAAACTGCAGAACAGACTTTGCTAGCAAAACTGTGCCAGTGTTAAACTATTGTTCATTTTTCAATGAGTTACTCTGTCTATTTTGATTATATGAGCCATTTTCTGTGGCTCGTTTATGATTCTAAAAATTTTATAATGAAGGCAACTTATATTTTCTATTATTTTGATTTATTCTAAAGGCAAAGTTGAAGCTCAGAGATGGCCCTAATGATGTTGTTTTTAGTATTACAACCCAGTATCAAGGGACTTGCCGTTGTGCAGGAACAATATATCTCTGGAACTGGAATGATAAAATCATCATATCAGACATTGATGGAACAATAACCAAGTAAATATCATTGGTATTCTTTCTTTGATTTTTTTTTTTCTTTTATCTTGCTTCGTTGATCCTATCCTGCTTTTCAAAATAAGATAAACCTGATTTAAGACTATTAAAGAATGTTCATTAACAGTTGTGAATAAACTTGTTGGTTTGATTTTAATTTGCGCTTGCATTTATAGCAAACCAGAAAATGTCTTTTGAAAGAATAATGCAAAGGTGATAATGTTTACTGTGTGACTATTGCCCGTTCAGTTAGACTTCTCCAGGTTTAGCCGCCGTTTAACTGGGAAACTGGCTTGTGCAGTATGGCTCCAATAATTGCTCTGTCTCGAGTAGTTACTAATTTTCTTTTGAAATCGTTAGGACCTTCTACAGAGGTATTTCCATAAATACTTATTATAAATTGTATATTAATTAACGGTTGTCTTTAACAAAACCTATATACTTAGTATCAGCTATCTCTGATTTTGCTTTTAGGTCTGATGCTTTAGGACAGATCCTCCCTCAGCTTGGCAAGGACTGGACTCATCAGGGCATTGCAAAACTCTACCATTCCATAAATGAGTGAGTATGTAATCTGTGAAGCAATTAGAGTTTCCTGGAATTTGGGAATTAATGGGCAGGTAATTGGATTGTTGTTAATAAGTATGCAGTTCATTACAGTTTGTTGGTCTAAATGTTGGGAAGTGAGCTACTTCTGTCATTCACAAACAAAACCAAGTTCTTTCCCCAGATGTGTACTTTTATAGGAATGGAAGTCACCACTTTTACTAGTTCCCTTCTTAAATGTTTGATTCTGCATTTTAGTTCTTAAAAACTGTGTGTAACATTGTTGGGACTACAAAAGAGAACCATAATAGCAATAATTTCTCAGTCATGCATCTGTCAGTTTCCACCAACTCACGCTGATCACAAAGCTGATTACAAACATGGTACAGTGTAAATTCAAACCTAAATTGTGTCCTTCCAATGCATGAATATTTTGCGTTCTAATGTGTTTGCTACTTAACTCAAGTGAATGTTCCTTAGGATGGTTTTAATGAAACAGGATGGTTTTCCTGAAACAAGCCTAATTAACAACTTGCCACTGCCACAAAGGGAGGTTTGGTGGCCTGGCTCAAGTTTTCTGGCACTTGTGCTTCTGTCAGACTGATGCAGTTCAGTAAAACAGTAAGAAAGTAACTCAGCAAAATGGCGATTTCCCCTTCCCCTCCTTGGATTAGTCAATGGAACGTTGCTTACCTTGTGATCTGCAAGAGCCTGCAGCAGCGGCCCATGTGCCTTCCCCCCCTTGCAGCAGTGGTGAGATGTTCTCTTAGGTCAAAAGTGTTGTAAACCACACCCTTATAAATGTGCTGTTCACATAAGAGGTATATAGCCTTAGAATATTTATGACCAATCACTTAGGGCAGAATAAACCTACATATTTCCTCTTCTTTCAGATTTGGTCCTTTGTTTAGCAAACTTATTCAAAAATATAGTGGTGCCAGAAATAATACTTGCTACTGAGGAGTATCACAAGATGATCAACTGTCAAACACTTCATGATCCACTTAAAATAATCAACTTTTATCTTCATTTTTAAGTTTACTAGTCTTTCTTTCCCCAAAAATATTTGTAGTCTTAGAGTCTATTGTTGACCTTTGTTCTGTAGCTAAGTTTCATTTGTGGATCCTTGCAGTCTATGGGAGATAACCTGAACTTTTTTTTGTATTCAATGCAAAATAGAAGAGAAGTTTTGGAATTATTTGCCAAACTGAATCAAGTCTATGAAAATGCACGTAACACTCAAGCCTTCTGTGCATGCAGTAACTGTGTACAAATCTGTCTAACAGATGAACCTACAAAGTCTGCAGGAAAAAATCAGGGGCTTGATGAATGCTTCTTGTTATCCGTCCTTCACTCTGCGCTGCAAATTCTGCCAACAACCTGAAAAAAATCCAACAACCAAGACAGGAGATCTGGCATCCAATATTATGTGATGCAGATAATTTAAATAATTGCTATCATCCTGCAGCTGGGCTGATAGAAGCTGGATAAAACCAATGGGTCACTTATTTAAATACAATTTAGTCCATCTAATTGTGTCATCTGAGTATTACCATCCCTGTTCTTTTTGCTCTTCCTGTTTCTTAGTTTGAGTCATGCATTTAAACTATTATATGCCTTGCAGATTTTTTTAACAGTGGAACAGTCTTTTCCTTGTGTGTGTGCCGAGCACTGTAACAAGTCAATACCTAAACTGATGCCTCTGAACACTACTATAACCTTATACTTAAGTTTGCAAAGAAACTGTTCAGCAGCAATATGAACTAAGTTGATAATTCTTTTCTAGAAATGGCTACAAGTTTCTGTATTGTTCTGCCCGTGCCATTGGGATGGCAGATATGACCAGAGGATACCTACACTGGGTGAATGACAAAGGAACAATTCTCCCCAGGGGCCCTCTCATGTTGTCCCCCAGCAGTTTGTTTTCTGCTTTGCACAGGTAAGCATGTGGGATTTCATACATCCATTGCCTCACCATCTCAGAGAAAGCAGAATAAAAAGATTTGTCATGCTGACCATTAACAGCTGTAACCAAACGTTCCGCTCTGTGCTAGATTTGCTACTGAGACTTGATGTCCCTCTAGTGATCATCTATCAGCTATTTGTTTTGTCTGAATTTCACTTGTATACTTCTGTTTCTGTGGGCATGTTAGAAGTGGCTACAAAACACAGAGCAACATCAATCATAAAGCAGCTCATTTTCCATTTTCTTCATTCTTCTAGTCCATGACTGATTACCATTAGGTTCTGTTTGTATCAGTCTAATGTTGCCTTTTTAAGTATAGCTTCAAGGATTGGTAGTGCAGTGCTACTATGCAAGATAGAGGGAAAAGAAAAAATGCTGGGGAATATTATAGACTGTCATACTACATGATCTTGTGATGTTAGGAGTGCTTCACATATGACTGCTTAAAAAGCAATATGGAGTTTAGCTACGGTTCAACTCAGTTGATCTTTTGAACCAGCCCTAGTCTACCTGTTCTTGATGGGAAGAGCTAATGGTGGAAAAGTCTTTTTGGTTTTGTTTGTTTTTTAATAAAAACAACTGATTCATGGTTAGCAGTGACAGCAACTTCCATTAAGGTCACTAACAGGCCTTCCACAATCTTGTCAGAGACAGGAGTTGTAACGAGCTTATGTGTACTTGATTAGGTCTTCTGATTGATATGGCCATCTACAATAAAAGCAGTTCACAAACTGCATTCACAACTGGGAATTTCATCCCATTTATGTAGCCTATGCACAGGTTATTCGCCTATTTTTTTAATATGAATGTTGGAAAACAGCAAATGTTTTATTGTCTCTTGTATCGTTCTTGGAAAACTGCTGACCCCTGTCTATACAATTACCAATGCTATCAACAGGAAGCAGTGAGAATATAAATATCAGATAAATGGGGGAAGGAGGATAACCTCTATCAAATAATGATTTAGAATTTGACTGTTGAAATTTTATTTTAGGGAAGTAATAGAAAAGAAGCCTGAAAAGTTCAAAATCGAATGTTTGAATGATATCAAGAATTTGTTTGCTCCCAGTAAACAGCCTTTCTATGCTGCTTTTGGAAACAGGCCCAATGTAAGTCTGCCCCTTTCTAATTGAAGGGTTAAAATGCACGAAGTACTTGGGAAGCAAAAGAAATAGGCTTTTCTTTTTGTTTCTATTTAAATTTGAATAAGGAAATGGGATGCTGGTGCTTTTATGGGTTTGGTCAGGAAAACTCACATGCAGATACCTTAAAAGCAGCTAGAACTGCTTGTATGAGGGAGGTTACAACGATGTGTTAGTATTCTCAGGATTTGATTAAATATGTGCCACCTTTCCATATTCTTTCTCAGTGTTTTTGACAGCTTTATAACCTAAGGGTATTCATTCAGTGTTCCTCAGTCTCAAATCCTTTTTCCTATTGTACGGTTCCTGTATTTTTTCTGCAGCTCAATGCCTTCATAATTGAGCTAGAGAGAGAGAGAGAGAGAGGGTATTGTAAGAGGAATAATGTCAAAAGGAATGGTATTGTGTGGTATAGATTTTGGGCATGTTTGTGGTCCCAGGCTTGGGAACGGGAATTATGTGCTTGGGGGCAGGGGAGAATATTTTGTCATGGTGTGTGTATGCTTTTTTGGGTTGGTTTGGTTTTTTGGCTGTTGTTTAGGGGACTTTTATTTAAGGGGCAGTTTTACTGCACCCTCTTTAGATCAGCTTTTTTTATTCATTCAAGAAATTATTCGTTATATACATTCAATAAGCCAGTGTTGAAGCCTATGCTGTTGTTCATGCTTTTTGCAGGATGTGTATGCCTACATGCAAGTGGGAGTTCCAGACTGCAGAATATTTACTGTGAATCCAAAGGGTGAACTGATCCAAGAACGGACTAAGGGAAACAAATCTTCGTAAGATAATTTTTGTTGTTTCAGCTAAAGGAAGTATTTAGGAATGAGATTGCAGAGTAATTGCATTTGTGACCATGATGATTTGGTCTCTTGTTATATATGACATATGAAAATCTTACTTGCCAGAGACTTGCAGCTTTGGATACTTAACTGAAACTTTTCAAAAAGAAAAGTAAACTGGCAAAATAAAATTGAAAATTGCTTCTGCAGTAGTGATGCCTTATTTGACTATAGCTTTCTGGTCTAGACTTCTAATGCTCCTTTTTGGCTACAGTTGAGCAGTGACTAGACTGTTAAATAATGGTCTTTCTTCTTTTTTAATATAGGTATTACAGACTAAGTGAGCTTGTGGAACATGTGTTCCCATTGCTTAATAAAGAACAGAGTTCTGCATTTCCATGCCCAGAATTCAGCTCCTTTTGCTATTGGAGAGAGCCTCTTCCTGACCTTAACATGGACGACCTGGCCTGAAAAATACTCACCTAGAGATGGAATTTCATATTCAGCTACTCAACTTCAGTTTAAATGTGAAGAACTTTCTTAATGAAGATGCTAATTTATATACTGGTACCGTAAGTCTTACTAAAGAAAACACTTTAACTCTGTTGGTTTAAAACAAAGAAAATGCAAAACTACTGTCTATTTTTTTGTGTGTGGCGTTTGGTTTTTTGTTTGTTTGTTTCTTTATTCCTTGTCTTGATATATCTGTTCTAAGGCACTTGAGATTGGCCTGTCATTGATGGTCATGGTACCCAAGTGCTTCAAGGCAACTAAACGCTGAGGTAAACTATGACTTTGCATTTTCATCAATACAGACCTTATTGTAAACACAGATTTTTATTTTTCTTTTGGTGTTAGTCTTAATAGTATATTTTCTAAAATGAAGCCAAAAAGTATATGGAAACTGCCAAATAGAATGTCAGACCTATTCACAAAAAACGTGGTCTAATGTTCAGATGGGCAATTAGGCCATTTTTTAAAGGAGCCAGAACCTAAGACCAGTGTGCTCTTTCTCAGCTAAAATACAGAAAATGTATAGACGTTACTAGCCTGACAGAATCTGAAGACATAAAATGCCTCTTCAAATGTAAATATGCCTTTTGTCACATATACAAGACTGCTTTTACGATTCATGCGCAAACTAACCCTGCTTATTCCTTTTTTTACATGAAATGTTTAAACTGTTTCATGAGCTTGTTAAAATGAAAGTTGTCTTCAGATACTTATGTGGCTTTTGTTGTTTTCAGGCTGTACTATGTCATGTGAAATTTCCACCAAGAAAAATACGGAACATTTCTGTAAGAGTTGGGGAGCTGGCATTTTTCTTTCCTTTTTCAGCATGTGTGTATGCTGTGTAGGCCAGTAAAGTGTATGTACAGATTATATTCAGGGAATTGTAATACTAAAAAATTATGTATTTAATTTTTTAATTGTCTACTGCAGGTCTTTCCAGAATTCTGTATTGCAGGTTTTCAGTAGCTGGAAGGAAAGGCAGCTCAATAGTGAGATTCCAGGTATGAGAACGGTTAAATGCTGCAGAGCAGAATAAACCCTTTTTTTTTTCTTGATTTTTTTTTTTTTTTTTTTTTTTTTTTTTTTTTAAGTTTTGTGCTATTCATAAACATCATGCTGGTCATTCCTCAGGTTCAGATCAGAGCCTGTGAACAAACTGCATTCCAAGTCTAGTGTTTATCAGCTGTAAAAGCAGCTAGCGTTTCTCTCTCCAAAAATACTTGAAGGCAAAGGTTGTTCTGCTTTTTAAGCTGAGTTAGTGCATTTAACCTCCTTCAGACAAATCTATGGTGAGAACGTATTATTCCACCAGTCCAGAGTGCTTAGGGACTACAGTCATTTAAACGTCAATCCTGGGCTTTCTGGGCATAGTCTGTCACTCCTTCAGTTCCTGGGGCCCTGCATCCCGGGTCCTCCCAGGGGCACTCCAGGCTGGGGCAGCTCTCCCGGGGGCAGCTCCGGGGAGCAGGGGTGTGCACAGGGAGGTGCAAGGGACCTCTAGAAGGCGTTTGTACGGCTTAGCTGCCCCGGTGCCTGCGCCAGGGCTGCTCTGCCGGGGAGCAGCTCGGGCAGGCCCTTCTGCTTCAGCTGACTTGGGCTGAACGGAGGAAAGGAGCTCTCTGTTTCACTGCTTGCAGAAAACCCCCACATTTAGAGGTTTTTACACCCCCACCAGGAATGTTTTTCTTTATCAAGCTGAGTTGTCTTAACCCACAGTTCTGATGTAACACCAGCTAATGCTAGATAATTGGTGAATTGCTTGGGGGGTAATTTTTAGATCACTATATAAATGAAATAATTTCCTCCCCCCATTATAAAATTCTAGTGTATTGTGTTTATAAAATATTAAAGAATGGAGCAAGCAAAACCAACGTGGAACCTCTCTTTGAAAGCAGGAGTAGGAGTGGGAAAGAAAAAACATACCTATCTGTCATGGTGTGAATTGAGACATCCTTGTTTTGTGCAGTGAGAACAATACTTCCTGTGACTGTTTCAGCAAATTCTTGGTTCTGTTACCAATTTGCTCAGTGTTCAAGTGGATTTCAGAGGATTCAGCTCAAAGGATATTTTGCTCTTACTGCTTTTTTTTTGCCCCCTTTTTTTTTTTACTGTCAGAAGCTTAAAAACATTGTTCCATGGGGTTTTTTCTTACCTTTTATCCCATAGATTTCATGAGAAACTGAAACTTTCATCATCACCAAGTGCTTTGAATATCAATGGAATTTGAGCTTTTGAGTCATTTAGCTACTTTAAATAGGAATCCAACATAATAAAGTATTTTAATTACAAGATGAAATACTCTATCTAAAGTTTCTATTTTACATAAAAAGTGTGAATCTGCCCCTCCTAAAACAGTGGATGTCAAAATTTTTTGTATCATGCTTAACTTATTCTTGGTGGCCCTGGTATTACACGGGTTTTTCTAAAAATAAAAGCACTTCATGAAACTGAGATGAGTTTCCAAATGGGAGAGATTGTTACCAAGGTTTGTCAGTATCTTTCCTGGTTCATTTTTTTCTCTTCACTTCAGTTCCATTCATCTTTTCAGATTGTCATAAAGGCAAGATGTGGATTTTAAGGTGGGGACTTGCATAAATGAGCAGTGTGGAAAAATAGTATCAGGTGTATCCCCAAACGAATGTGATTTAAGCTGGTATGAATATGGGGATTGTGTGGTTTTAGAGAGCTCCTCGTTCTGCTAACCTGTTATTTTGTATTATAGGGACGTCCAAGTTGCTTAGTTAAAAATTTTGCTTTTTTTTGCTCTGTAACAGCTACACTTTTGATATTTGCTTTTTGATAAAATGTAAAAGTGTTCTTGAGTATTTCTGATATGAGTAGAGTGGGGTTTTGTTTTGTTTTTCTAAATCTGGCTTGTATTTGAAGCTTTTCAGATTGTTTGTTAACCCTGTTTAGGGACAGCATATGGGCGCACTGTACCTGTCATTGCATACCCATGTAATTTGGACTGCTGGGCACTTTACTGACTCTAGAAAAGACATCTCATTACTATCAACCTGTAGGCTTGTGCTGCGATATTAATATGAATTGGGGTAAATAAGAATTATGCATTAGCCTGTCCTTTGTTACCTTAGTTGAGAGAAGTGGCCTGAAACTGATGTTTGAGAACAAGTTGTGCTGTACTTATTTAAAATTAGCGCAAGCTAAATCATTCTTTCTGTGAAAGAGGAACTTTTAAGTGTGTATGCCTGGAGGCACATGCACACCCCTGTTAAGACTGTGTTGTTGAAGATGCAGATCCTCTTAGCATTGGAACCATGTCAAAGGCTGAGTCAATGATACCTGTCTGGAAATAAATAAGGAACATTGCAATTCAAAACTTGTTAGTGACTTGGACATTACCCATTTCTATAATGATTTAAAGATCAGTAACTTAAGTGGTACACATTTCTGGATATTTCTTTTTTATTTTTACTGTACCAAGCATGTTTGTACTTCGGAAGGTTGGGCTCTCATCCCTAACAGTATACAATTGCATGTGCAATCTTGGCTCACGTATCTTAGCTTCCTGTCATCAGTATACTGATCCTAAAACTTTTTTTTTTTTTTTCAACTGGAAATGTTTTAAGATTTATGTCAACTCCATTATGGAACTTCTGAAGCCAACTCTGAATCTGCTTATGGTAAAGACAGAAGAGATGAGATTTCATGTTAATATTTCATACAAGTCTTCTAGAAAATGCTGTCATATGAATGAGAGTTGTTTAAATAACTGTAATGGAAATTCATAATGAAACATCAAAAATACATAGTGAATTTGAGATGCCTTTGAAGTGTCACTTTTGCCTGAAGAAGTTTTTGTTTCCAAAGTTAAAATCTGCTGAACAGAATGGAATTGTTTTGGATTTTTTTTACGGTGTTAATTGCTTCCAAATGAAAGTTAAAAGTTGGTTTATTTTGAGGGTGGGAAAACTCTCTTCAATCATTTGTTTCATTTTTATGTTGAAGACGTGGAATACTTGATTGTTAAGCAACCCAATCACTAATAAGGTAGTGTGTTTAAAATTGTCAAATCTGTGATCATACCAACACAGTTGTTTTTGTTAAGACTGGACGATCTTGGGTACAGTAACCCACACTTCAGTGCAATGTTTATTGATGTTCAGAACAATGTTATCACAATAAACAAAGTTAAACTAAAATTTTTCTTCACTTTGTACTTGGGTATTCCATTCTTGTATTGCTAATTTAGTAAATGCGGGGTTATTTACATTGTATTCATATTTTAGATGGAATTCAAGTTGCTCCTCTTCAGGTGCATTTGCTTTCTCTTGCACTTGGTTTACTTTTTTCAGAGTATTTGTACAACTGATAAGTAATTGCTGTCATCAAGCCTACGTTGTGGGCCGGTACCAATACTGGGTTATAACTATAACAAAAATCAAACATGCTTTAATACAGAATATCAGGTAACAGCTGCATGACTGGGAAATACACAGGCTGCCTTGAAGAAAATCTTGAAACTGCATAGTTTGACCTCTTGTACATCTGCGCATATTTGGAGTTTTATCTTAATTCCATCAAAGCTAACTTTTTCCTTTCAAGGTGGAGTATTGTTTTCCATGACAGTTAAATTGCTTGAGGCAATTATTGTGAGACGATCTTGAAAAAGGGGCCTCAGGCTTTCAGTAGAAACTTACTCTTCCTGGTCTCTTGCTGCTGTTGGTAAATGCAACTAACTGGCAGCCTACCTTGGAAAATTCAGCTGTTTCAGTCACACAAAGAAGTGTGGCAAATCTGCATGAAAATGCAAACTGTTGTGCCTTTTGATCCTTCTGCAGCAGGTGTCATTTGTGTTGCTGCCACCAGCGCCCATTCGCTCTCCTTCTGTGCAGACACAGAGCTTACTGCCAGCGTTTCATCACCTCCTGCGCTTCTGCTGGGCTTCCCCCGTGATTCTGCTCACATGCTGCACCCTCTCTTCATGCCCCAGGAGCTTCACCCCTCACACCCCAGTCTCGTTGCTGCCCGTCTTTCACACCCAGGGCTCAGTACTTGCTTGTGCGCGCTGAGCGGCTATGCCAGTGCAAGCAGCAGAAGGGCAGCATGTCTTGTGTATGCCAAACGCTCAGATCTGTTGCAAAAACATCTCTGAGCTGACGTTGTCTCTCCTGTGTCCATCTTATCCTAACAGACTCCTGCTGGGGTAATCTTGGTCGTGGTGGATGGATTTTTCTGTCTGGGAGCAAGTCTTAGATGCTTAAAGAATAGAATCTCAGCTTCCAAGAAGGGGCACTTTCCTGTGTGCATGCGGGGCACTGTTCTAGTTATGTCATGCAGTTTGTACACCGAGGGCCCTGGGGGCTGGGTGTGCAGCCCTGCACCATTTTGGTTGGGGACCACGCGTGCGCTCCTGCTTGCTGCAGTTGCCAGGCGCGCTCTCGGGGCAGTGCTGGGCTGAGCTGTGAGTCAGCGGGCTGCTCAGGAGGGGTTTCTGGGCAGATGTCCTGCACCCTGCACGGGACGGAGCGGGACAGCTCAGAGCTTCTGGAGGTTTCACTGTTGGGCACAGCAAGGGCTTGTCAGGGGCTTCTGTCTGGCAGGAGCTGTATATTCTAAGCATGACAGTTACCCACTGTTTTTCCTTCTCTCCCCTCACCTTAGACAAATTAATGAAACCTACAGTGATGTCTCTGCCCCATACTGGAGATGCCCAAGACCCCTCTAGTCGAGCAGGGGGCTGTAGCAAAGAATAGCAGAAAGACTCCAGCACTAAAACCCTGTGCAGTATTTTTCTTCATGGCTGAAGTGGGTGCTGGCCCGGCCCAAGGCCCCAGGCTGGCGTGCAGTGGGACGGCCGCCAGCCCAAGGGCTGTGGCAGCAGCGTGGCGCAGGGAGGACAGATACCGAGCTGCAGGAGAGCCAGGGCTTGGGTTAATGGCTTTTGTGTGTAGTGCATTGAACGGGGCACAATTAACCTGCACACTGGGATAATTACAAGCAATGCTAAGTTGCCTCCTCGGGAGTGCGGCAAAAGCCTTTGCTTGTGAGGAAGTATGCCAGATAGAGATGGTTTTAACTAACCACCTTCGGTCTGAATTCTGCTTTAAGGACTGGGTGGCTGCCAGTCTCGCTTGCCCCTCCACTGAGAGCTGGTACACCCCACGTCGTCTTCATCACTTATTTTGTTCCAGTCTTTCCCTGCCTTCTCTTCCTTCTTCCTACCTCGCTGTTCTCTAATCTTGTGTTCCCCACTTCTGCTGATACTTCATCTGTGCATGTTCTGGTAGAAGGTCTGGAAGGCATGTCCTGTGAGGAGCAGCTGAGGGCTTCGGGTTTGTCTGTTTGTAGAGAAGGAGGCTGAAGGGTGACCTCATTGCTCCCTGCAGCTTCCTGAGGAGGGGAAGTGGAGAGGGAGGCACTGAGCTGTTCTCCCTGGGATCCAGTGGTAGGATGTGTGGGAATGGCTCAGAGCTGCACCAAGGGAGGTTTAGAATGGATGCTGGGAAGCATTTCTTTACCTAGAGGGTGGTCAAACCCTGGAACAGGCTTCCTAGATAGGTGGTTGATGCCCCAAGCCTGTCAGTGTGTAAGGGGCGTTTGGACAGTGCCCTTAACAACATGCTTTAACTTTTGGTCAGTCCTGATGTGGTCAGGCAGTTGGACCAGAAGATTGTTGTAGGTCCCTTCCAACTGAAATAGTCTAGACTGTTCCATTCCATTCATCAGGAATCAGGGCACTGAATGAGCAACTAATACCAGTAAGAACTGTGTTGGCAGAACTTCTATACTGTGTACCACAAAGCCTATGTAACAGTGCTCGACACCAAATAAACACTTAAAATATACATGCACGCTTGACTAAGGAGCCAGAAACTGCAGTTTTAAAGGTTGTGGAAGAGAGCACAAAAATTTTGGCTTACAGTGCTGCTGTGTTCACTGGAAAGCAAAAGAGCATGAAGACATCACACAACAGGTAGGCTTTATTTAAATGTATCTGCAGTTGTTTTCTGTAACAGTTTTCTTCATGTTCTTGGATGTTTCTCTCTCTATATCCCTGTATATATGTATACATGTGCACACATAAAGCATACTCTCAAATGTGCTGTACTTTGCTGAAAAATACAGTAATGTTCCTTTTTTTCCACAATCAAGATAGCAAAATGGATAAATGCCAAAACCTGCTTATGTACTAACATGTTACAAGATGTTCTTTGAAGTTTCCCATATACAAAGAATTGGCAGAGCTGTTCTGCCTCGTGTCTCAAGTCTGCAGGGTACATTGCAGGCGGGTTGGTGTTGGCTTGAGTGCAAATCTGTCTTGTGCTGACAGGACGCAGCCCCCAGGTATTCCTGGTGACCTGACAGTTTGGACTCTGTGTCATTATCTGGGAGCAACTAGCAGCCAAAGCGTACCTCCTGTCAGGTCTCAGTGGAGTGCATGTTCCTCCTGTCTCCAAGCTGAGACTGTAAATGCATTTGTAGTTTTGGTGAAGTATGTCCATATCCACTACCGTGCCGTAACATAAGGACTGACTTACTCAGCCGATAAAACTCACTTCCAAATGCACGATGTATCCTCAGGAAACAATTCAATCCTGATTTGAATCCCTTGGTTGCAGCTGGGGAGCCCTTTACCTTGCATTCCCAATGCATTTTAAAGCTGCACTGGGTGGCAACAGGCATTTTGTTTCAAGTTGCCTTCCTATGCTTTCCACTTGCAGCTCACTCCATTTCCTTGACTAATTCTAATTCTTCTTGAATTGCTGGTTGGCTTCACAGAGCTGACTACAGCCTCTCAGCAAAACTACACAAAGTTGCTGCAAGTAACCTGGCGTCACTGGAAGGATACATGGTGGAATACCACAGAAAATCCTCATTGCTTCGAGTGGTCGGTATAGGAATGTCTCCACTGTCTCTGAAGACTTAATAACAAATTAAAATAATGAGGTAGGTTTTTTACAAGTTTTGTGGTGAAAATTGGCATTCCTTCTTTGCTCCAGGCTTTCCTGGGGATAAGGCTAGTTTTTATGTCACTTTGTTGCCTTTCCCCAGGGCGGCTCTAGGATACACTTTCCATGTTTGGCCAGAGCAGTCTCTCTGGCTGTGGGCACACCGGTTTGTCTTCAGGTGTTCTGCTGCTACTGAGCAGGCTGTGGGAATTCACCTGTCTCACGAGAGCTGCTGCCTTTGATATCTGGACGGTCCCTGAGCAACCGCTGTGCCTCGCGCCGGGCTGAGGGGCTGCCAGGCACACCTCCAGACAGCCCCACCTGCTGGGGTTTGGGTTTCTTCCCGTTTTGACGTCAGATGGGAGCACCTGGCACAACAGATACTGCTTTGCCTGAGAATCTCACAATCATCACAGGCCGCACTGCAATGCTACCTGCAAAGCAGATCTGAAAGGTAGCACTGTGGTTTATGAAGCAGGCAGCACACCTGCTGTTTTAAGGCTTTCTTGGTTAACAGACGGTTCCTATTTGAGCTTGTGGATGTTCTCGGGGGTGGTAGGCAAAATCATGAACTCACAGCGTGAAATGTTCCTTTCAGTGCAGGTATTTCCTTGTTCAGTTGCTGATTCTCACTGAAGATGTAAGTGTGCTCTCAGTGGGTTCAGGGCATTTTGGAGCAGGGATCGTGCTCCTTCCTTAGAGGCTGGGCTGCTCCGTACGGAGCAAACCCTCAGCAGCCCCACAAATGCATCTGTGCTTGCGTCTCCTCCAGCTGCTGCTTTAATGTATGTTTTATCCAAGCACTCACTGGAGCAGAGACCGGAACTCAGGTTCCTCCCTCCCTTTGCTATTCAGGGGCTTCCAGCATTGTGGTCGTCCTAGCCGGGTGAATATTCCACCTTGTAAGCTCCAGGAAAATAACCTCATCGGGAGAAACTGAGGCACCTATCCTGATTACAGCAATTACCAAGGAAATGGAAATTAAGGGTCAGGTCTCCCTCAACAAAGGCAGGAACCTAAGACAGAGATTCCTTGTCAAAGGTCATAGCTTTAGCTACTGCACCGCTAGAAATGGTGGATGGGAAACTCCCTAAAAGCTCTAAAAAGTGTCCTCAAAATGTGCTGCTGCGATTGGGCCCTGCTGTGACATAGTTTAGGGAATGCTTTATACCTGTGTACAATTACCAGTTATGCTGCACTGCGGGGACTCGAACAATCTCTGCATCAGCAGCAGATCCTGGGCACAAGGAGAAACGTTCCGGTAGAAGATGGCCTGTCCCCTTAGTTGAACTTGGCGCGTGAAGTTTTGTGGGTTGGATTTAGAGCTCTACCAGAGCAGTTAGGTAAGAATTAGATGATATAATGTTTCCAACTCTAGCACTAAACTTGCACTGCTGATTCTTAAAAATGTCTCACTTGGAGGGGGTGGAAGGGGGAAAGGTTGTGTTTGCCAGATAGGTCTCCCTAAGCACTCAGCTCATTTTGTTTGTTTCCATGAGTCATTTTTAGAACAGGCAACAATAATCTAACAATACTTGAGTCACACAGAGTCTGGAGCCAACTTCTTAGAGAACGCAGCTTTCTTGAGGCAAGTGAAAAATATCCTAAAAGGAAAAGTGCCTCTCTGGCTTTTGTACATAACAACAAATTATGTTTAAAAAATAAGTGATTGATGCAACTGGCTTTTGAAAACACAGAAAACAATCTTTCCTGTCTGTCTCTTCGATTTTGAGACCTACAAAGGCAGGAGACAGAAAGGGGCTGTTGATTTAGGACAAAAGAAAACTAAGTCCTCCTGTGAAAAAGCAAGAGGTTGCTAACCGCATGCTAATGCCTCACACTCCAGCAAAGTCAAGACAAATGTGCAGGGAAATGAGACGGGGGTGGCTCCCGTTATCAAGCTGCAAAGTGCAGGGTCACGGTACAGCTTTGGCTACTAACAGCTGCTCTTACAGAAACAGCCTACATGCTACAAAATACATCCAGTCCTGGCTTCTGCTTATCAGTAACACCATCATTTCTGAAAATCAGGTGCCAGGAGACCTTCCTAAACCAGGTGCTTTAAAACTCCACTCCGACTTTCCTTCCCCTGCCCCCCCAGTGCACTCCTGGCTGCACAGGGACTGACTCAGAGTTCTCTGCCCAGAGCAAGCTTTTTCCGCCTGCTTTTCTCAAAAGCAGCTCAACTTCCAGGGTGTCACAGTTTGTTGTGGGAAGGCCCCATCTCATCGCCTGGAAACAGAATTATTAGGGATATCTGTTCCAAAACTAAGCAACAAAGGCATAAATCTTCATTTGACCTCCTCAGATGGGAAGGGCTTCAGCTAAACTGTACTGTGCTGCTTACAGCACAGAGAGTTCTTCCTTCATCTAAAGGAATTGTTTGTTCTGAGGCTTTAACAGCTATAAACAGCTGTTCTGGATTTGTAAGAAGGAAAATACACTACACAAACCACTATGATAAATACAACTCTACACGGCATGAGTAGACTATTAAAAAGATCTGTTTATGTAAGAATCTATAGGTGACAGCTGAATAATCTTGCTCTCAGTAAAGGGGGGGCTGGATTTTTATTCAGCCACAAAAGAGCTCAAAATGCTAACTCAAAAGAGCCAAAACATCCTTTTTGTTACCTCCACTGAGAAGTGGCTAGTATGAGGAAAAAAAAAAACACTGTTGCCCCAAATGCATTTATCTGTTTAAACTAAGGAAGTTGCTTCATCCATATAAACAGAAGCTGAATATTAAACCAAACCTTACTCGAAAGCACTGATGCAGGAGGCTGTTACAACAAAGACTTGGTGCAGATGGCTGGTTTGTGCATTTGACAGTATTGGCCAATAAGAACATTTTCCTATCTCAGTTTTTCCTCTGATTTGTTGTCTACAATGCAACAAAGACAAAACTTCTGTCTTAATGCAAATACTATAGGAATGCCAGAAATAAGTTCTTTTAAAACTTTTCAAAATTACCATTTTCCTTGCATGGATGACTTAGATTTTTCTGACCTGTTTTATTCGTTTCAAGCACCGAGCTTTAATCTCAAGAGCATCGTGCTTAAGTGATCGTCTTTTTTACTGTATCAGTTGAAAATAATTGTCCTACATCTTCCAGTAGTAGCAAGTGCACATTGCACTTATGTCTGCCCAGTGGAAAGCTGAGGCAAGAGAAGTTTCTCCCTGCACAGCTACTTCCATTTGATTGGAATGAGTCACTCATCTTGTCTCTTAGCACCAGTGGTGTTTGGCCCTTGAGAGAAAAAAAGAAAACTGATGCAGGTAGGTGGTGTTTTGCTTTGCACCACCATGGTTACCTTTGAACAAATTGTTTATGTGAATGCACTTGACCCAACATATTTTTTAATAACACAAGGACTAAGAAGTCATCAACCATGTCCAATACAGCCTCCTTTCTTGCCTCTGTTTTTCTGAAAATATTAAAATAGCTGACCACAACTGTGAACTTCAGCAAAGATGTAAACTTTGATACACTACGGACAATTTGATAAACTAGGGAGAAGACTGCAAAGGCAATTTAACAGGGAATAGTAAGAGCACAGTGGAAAAATATCTATTGAGAACATACTTGTTTAGCAGTTGTTCTGCTTGTACAGGTAAACAAGGGCTTGGGAAGGAGTTATTTTAGCTACAGGAACATGTCTTTTGTAGCTACCTCTGAAAACAGGGGTTAAAGAAAAGGTCTCAGTATAGACTATAAACCCATCACTGAAATCAAATATATAAACTGAATATATTAAAGCTTTGAATTTTATTACACTTAATTTCTTCTGAATATCTTACCCTTCTCTCCTGTTCAAGGTAAACCTAAACATGAGAAATGGAAGGATAAAGGAGAACTCCACTAAACGTGGAGTACATTTCATCAGAGTCTGTGTAGGCCAGTTTGCCTCCTGTTACGACGACGTTTACTTCATCTCCTGCTTTGAGGTGAAGAACAAGGTGGAATGTCCCAGGACCACCACAGGTCCGTTTCCCCGAGTAGGGTTTGTGATACTCCAGCAGTTCCCTTCTGTACCCAGCTGTGTGGAGCTGAGCCACGCTTGCGTTGGAGACAGACAGCACTGCTTCCACGTACTCGTCCCTCTCCGGGGCCAGCACAGCGGTGATCAGGTAGCGCCCTTCATACGGAGAGGTGAAAATGCCTGCAGAAGAGAGACGGCCTGAGATTTTCAGAGTTATTAAAACTGGAGAGACCTGACTGCTCTAAGCACGATGACAAACATAAAGTGACATGGGTTACCCAGGGCTACGTACAGATAACTCTGACAAGGTCAACCTGGGCAGCTGACCAACTGCAGCAGTCAGAAGGCAAAGGGGTTTGCTGCTTTTGTGTTAGAGCCCACCCGTCCTTCAGGACACACATGGGACTTGTCCACATTCAGAAACCCCCTGACCCAGCGCTGGGTGAAGAGGCGAGGTACCCACGTGCTGTGCAGGTCCCCAGTAGGCGAAGGCACGTCCAGCACCCCCAAGTGACGTGACACTCTGCCTGAGGAGGAGGCAGCCTGCAGTTACTGCTGTTGGGGAGGCAGTGCATATGGCCTGCCGCCCCCCCTCCCTCCCTCCCCGGGGCAGCCCAGCTGGCTGAGCAGCACCACCAGCTGTGCTGGCAGAGCAGGGGAAGGGGTGAGCTGGGCCTCGCTGTTACTGGGCAGTTGTGGAAAACCAGCCGTGGCAAAGTGCGCGCCCGTCCGCATCCACAGGAAGCTTTTACCCTGGTGTGTCTGGTTTAGGTGGACTTACTGCGTTTGCTCAACATGCTAGCGAGGCCTGAGGGAGCATCAGACAGTGGTAACCCATGCTACTGCCTGTCTGGCATCTCTGTGGGTCCATTCTTTGGCTGTTACCTGTATTGGGGTTATAATAGTCCCCATCATTCACAAGCACTTTGTTAAAGTGAACCACGCCGACATCACTGGAGAAAGGCTTCTGCGTGAGCCCAGCAGAAAACGACACCAGGGAGGCCGCAGCAGCAGCAGGTCCTAAAATGGGTAACAACATGAGTCAGAGTCACATCAGGACGACAACACAGCCTCTCCCCGCAATGGCTTACAATCCAGTTTCTCTGCTCCTGCACATACTCTACTTGGACTAACCCTATCACATGAGGGATGCCAGAATTAGCAGAATACATATTGCTGGCCCAGGTCCCAGGTGTTCTCACCATAAAATTTACTGAGCACCATAAAATTCCCCCATTGGCCAGAGCCTTTTTTTTTTTTTTTTTTTTTTTTTTAACTTCTCAGGAAAAGGTAACATGGCTTGTAAATGCTGGCAGTGGAAATCCTGCCACCTCTCAACTCAACAATGCTTCTTCTGCCACAGACCTTCTTCAGGGTTGAGGCTGCCCTTGGACATCTCCACTCTGTCACTGTCACAGTGGCAAGAGGAGTGCTAAAGAGGTACAGTTCATGCCAGCTTTCCTAGTCACGCTGAGAAGCTGTGCACAGCTTAGATCTCTTATCTTCTCTGCTGAAGGGTACTGAAAATAGCTACAAGATGTAACACTCTGGAGTTAAAGCAGAAAGAACCATCACCAGGGCTTTTATCTCTCTGCATAACTTCTCTTTTGGGGGACTTTTCACTCCACAACTTTTTATTGTTATCTCAGCAGATCAGACACTGAGGTTATTTTATAGTAGCTCTCTGCTTACTAGTTAAACACTGCTGTTAGACTGGTGCTGGATGAAAAACAATTTGAACAATTAAGACAAATTTTTATTTTTAACAGACTGGCTTAATGGCAAGTGTTCAGTGATTGACCACTCAGTCCCATTCTAGTTCCCTTCCCTCTAAACGTTTCCCCAAAAGCAGGACACACTGCTAGACATAGTCAACTCCTGTTGCTTTGTTTGGGCATTTAAAGTAAACAACAAATACACTTGAAGCTGTCCTCAGTTGCTCTTTCTGTTCTACCCTGTTCAGGTTAGGATTCATGTCTTCTCCATGCTGTTCCACTCCTCTTTCTTCTGCCTTCCTTAAAATAAATGTTCGGTTTTCTCTTCATCCTATCTGACATGCCTGTCAACAACCTGATTGTATCACTTAAAAATTGAAGTTAAAAGGTGACAAAACTTCATCTAAAATGTGGATATACAAATGCTCTGCTATCCTTTTTTTTTTTTTTTTTACTTACTAATTTGGCATGGGGGGAGCAGGAGGGGAAGGCAAGGGGAAGACATGCCTGCAACTTCAGAAATGCCAAATAACTACCTTGACTTCCCTCAGGGGCTAGTAACCACCTGCCTCACGTATCTTTGGAAATCTCCTTATTAGGTATTTTGTCTCAAGCTCAGAAAACAGCCAGAAGTCCTATTTCATTACTCCTACTTGCTAGTGTGCCTGCAGGTGCTCCTGTGAGCTAAGATGAGGTTATTTGACAAGACCAAAATTAATTGCAGGAAGTCTACTTAAGGAGCTTCTGTAAAGCTCCGCCACCTTAGCACCACAGTACTTACAGAAAGCATCTCTTTGTATTCTCAGCTCACCCTGAGAATACTGAATCAACTGAAAATGCACCTCAAACTTCTTGTTGGCTCACTTGTAAAGGTTTCTCTGCCCTGCAGTCATACTGCACAGAGAGCACAATTTGCTGCCAGCCCAGAAACACTGTCCTTTGTTCAGGTTGGTGTCATCTGAATAAGAGAGAGACTCCTGCCCTGCCTCACCATGGCTTCCTTCAAGATTTTCCTACACAAGTTGCTAGAATAGTTACTGGGGTTTGCTGCTGAAATTGCTTCAGATCTGCAGCCTAGTTTAGCACACTATCTGTGTTTGTCCAAAGGAGAAATCTTAATCCCGGCTAAATATCCTACAGATCAGTTCAATGGACAATATAGGGAGGTGCAGTGAAGACACAATGTGCCTAGGCTCTCTTATCCTCCTCCCTGCTTCCAGCTGGAACTGTGCCTGTTTGTTTGAAGCTTTCACAAGTCCTACCAACAGCTCTCAGCAGTGCTTTTCAAGAACTTTACAGAGGTGAACCACCTTCTCCTATATGTCTCCACTTATAAACACTTTTCCTCAAGCAAAGATTAAAGTTCATCTTCTCTAGGTAAGATCCAGGCTTCGAAACTGCTTTCACTTAAGCAGTTAGTGTTGTGGAATTATAAAAATCAGGAAGAAAAGTTTTAGAGCAGTTAAAAGCTAGGAACCACATGAACAGCTCTGATGAAGAAACTGTTGGGCAGACAAAAAGTTTCACAGAAGATTCAACCACAGTTTTACAGCTTCTGGGAAGGAAACAACTGTTTGACTCTAGATGTATTCAGGAAGGTTTTGCTTGATACAAATCTACGTAAGCAGGAGCAGGTATGTGTGTTCATGGCAGTCTAAGCTAGTATAATGCATTCTGGGGAGTCAAAAGACTGCAGAAGATACATGGGTGGCCTTTGTTAGGTTATAACTATTTCCAACCATCTGCTAGTTGTATTTCTGGTTCTCCACCTCTCTTTTGACTTCCCAGCACAGTTCAGTTCATGCCTCCCACAGAGCTCAAGGGCCAGAAGGTAAAAAAGAAGGAAAAAAAAAAAATCAAGCAAAACAAAACAGTGCACAGCATATGCAATTTCTATCAAGATGAAAGGAGAAAAAAATAATGTGATGGTGCTGCTGACAATTGCTCAGCAACTGGAATGAGAACTCTTCAAGAATCTACACAGAAGTGAGACCATAAGTATGTAAGTCATTTGTCAGTATGAACTTATGACTCCTTTGCATATGGCAGGAGTAGGGAAGAGATGTCAGATTTCCTCTGCTTGGTCAATACTCCTCAAACTAAATGAGGGCAAAGTGCATAATTTCAGTCAGAGCAATGGGAGAAAAATATCAGCAATTTATCACCTTCCTGTCTTTTTTTTTTTTAAAAAAAAAAAACCTCTTCAGTTTGACCTTATCTTTCATTTTCATGAACATCTGTTCTGCTTATGGGATGGCCATGCAGCACAGCACAGTGCCACACTGATTTCCATGAGTCAGTGCTCAACGAAGCTGGGCCCATTAGCTCTGCTCTGCTAAGTCACTGTGTTTCTGATGCAGATGATAACTCAGTGCATCATGAAGACACAGCTACTTTTCTCATGATTCTGTTAGTAACAGCTCTTACTGCTCTTACAACTCCTACCTTTCACAGAGCAGCAAGAGAAGGTTTGCCCTAGCACTTACGTACTGCGCCTCACACAAACATCCATCTCCTACCTCATCCTTCAGTGTGCTTCTGTGAATCGCCCTGTTCTTCAATGCAAACAGCAATAAAACACAACCACTGGTGCAACTGTGTGTGATCACATCTTCTTTACCTCAAAGTCAGCACACATGCTTTCCCCTGTGCTAAGACCACTGATGTGTACTAATGAGAATACTGCTTCCTGTCCAACGATCAAAAGAAAGAACTAAACATGCAGCAGAACCTGTCACAAGCACGGCACGGTGATTTATGCATTCAGTAAACTCTTTCTTCAAATCAAGGACCACCTACAACAACATAAACCTTACATTACAATAACATTGTGCCTTTATATCTGAAACATGTCCTACAGTCTTGCTGCCTGGAGTCACATGGAGAAAGTAAAGGCAGCTGAGTATCAGACAAGTAAAAAGAATTTAAAAGCCCAAACCAAAATTAGCCCTTTATTTGCACAGATCTATACAGCAGCAGGGCTCACAAGCGCAGCTGTTTTCTTTACTACACCATACAAGGAGTTTATTTTAGAGAGGAGCAACCACCCTCCATTGAAGCTGCAGGGTTACGGACACTAGTAACACTGCAGACTGCATGAAGGGGGAGAGTGAGGAAGGTAATTTGTGCTTTCAGTGAATTATTTTCACTGTCACCCTCTGTATGCTGTTCATCCAAATCCTCTTCTTGGCTCTGTCCTCACCTAGTTGTGTGAGCTGGGATCTTACAAGCATTTTCTCATCAGTTCCCAGACCAGGTCATCAGACAATTCATTACTTCTGCCTCTGCAGTTTTCTCTGCTCCAGCAAACAAAAATTCTCATAACTGTAAAACTGCCATGCTTCAATAACATTTGCTACTGATGTCTCTTTAAATAACAATTGTTTCAACTATTTCTGTGTTAAAAGTGATTAGGTGGATGCACTTAGGTCCTGACTCTTAACTCATCATTGTTGTAAACTCATTGCCTGTGAAAATAGAGCTAATAATGTAATATTGTACCTTGTACTCTCTCATTAACACTTGTAAGTCCTTGAAGATTTTAACCTACAATGTTATATTGTGATATGCATGCAAAGAGATAGCTAATGATTCTGAAAAACTCAAGAAACACTCTGGTACTGAAAGTACGCAAATCATGCCTCAAGAGTCAAGAAGAGCACTAAAGCAGGCTAGTTTAATCCCAGAGGACAGAGTTGGAGCCCTCAACTTCTTCCTGAGCAGTGCTTTTATATAACAGAAGCTCATCAGAAACAAAACGAAAGGAGTACTCAGAAGGTCAATTTAATAGTACAAACTTCTTATTTTAGGAATTATAGTACAAGAAGGTTTTAAATGTTCAGTTCAAATTTGAATTTCACTACCACAAAATGTACTGGGTGAAGGCTGGCAAAGACATCATAAACTGCAGTTCTGCATGAATTAGACATCAAGGATTCCTTGATGCCTCATTTAAGCATTACATTCTTCCTCCAATAAACCAGATATCTTCCCTTACCCAGCTGTTAATTTCTACACACTTAACTGCTGAATTCTGTCCCAGAATGCTCACTTTCTTTGCTGTTTATAAGCAGACACTGCCGATTAGGGACAGTGGATGTAAATGCTCTAATTTCAAAGAAGTCTATTAACTATTTGCACCATCCTTATCTCTCTGTTTTCTATGTCTGTACCTGCCACTGGAGTTTGCAAGGCATTCTGGGGGACAGCAGGTGTATCTTATATTTAGATAGGTCTTCAGTGGCATGGATAAGGAAAAGGAACTCCTTGGTCAAGCCCACATTTCTGGATCCCAGGGTGATAATTGTTTCTTACAACATGTTCCACCAAGCAGCAAACAGGCGCACTGCCTGCCACGGCCTGCCTTTTCAACACTTTTAACATCCACCTACTGTTTCACACAGTTTTAGAATAAACTTATGAAAATACTGCTGCCTATAAACAGCAATAGATTGTATAAAGTGGAAGAAAACCCGCAGGAAATCCATTTATCACTGAAATCTAGACATCTATATTGGCTTTGCTGGCATCAAGATAAACAAACGTTTCTTTTCTTCTTATCCTCTTCCAGAAGCCTCATCTATTGCTGCTTGTTCTTACCACCACAATCCTCAAATGCAAAAATATTGCTTTGAGTCTATAACAGATTTTTAATTAGTAAGTATAAGTATCAGAATTACAGTGTGAACTCTACAATTCCTTTTGTCAGTCCCCAAACCAGTCTTCAGGACGCATATCTGATTTTATTAGGGCCACCAAACTAAGTCCCAAGGGTAGGATTTTGGATGCCATAAAACCCTAATGTTTTATTTTTATCTATTTCTCATATTTTCTTAAATTTAAGTGAAATCATTATTTTTGAAGAGGCTGTGGGAATATTCACTCTGATCCAGGATTCCCCAGGGCTTGAATAATACCTTAAGTATGAGGTTTTAGAGCAGCCAGCGCCCAGTCAACGTATTTATCAAGACCAACTAGCATGTCGCACCCAATATTTATACCTGTTTATCATACAAATCCATAAATGAACTGTGATTTTAACAATTATAAAAAATAAACCCCACCAAACCAAGAAAACTGCAGTTTGAATCTTTTTAAACTGTGGTTGTCAGTGGCATCACTCCTGCTTTCACTGAAGTCAGGAACACAAGCCCTCGTGATTTTAACAAAGCCAGAAACTCTCCCACGAGGAGAACCAACTCATGTACTGGCTCAGATACTAACAATGCTTCAAGATCTTAGTCTTGGCCTTATTCATATCTTATTAAAGAAATATTAAACTCATCAGAATGAAATATATTTTTTGTCATTTAAAAGGGGAAAAAAAAAAAAGGTCAGTACTGACATTTACTAGGAAATAGAAACCCTTTGTATTTAAAAAAAACAACCACTGAAGTAAGCAACAATAACCCAAAATGAATTCTTCTTCAAAACCACAAAAAAACACGTATTTTCCAAGGATGCAGTCTGTCAGATTTGCCCCAATGCTAAACTTAAAATACTACAAATCAACACTTTGTTCTCTCAACTGTGACATTTCAGGGACTGAAATAAACATTAAGTACCTGTGTAAAAAATTTCTAGGAAACAGTCACCTTACCTTGCGAGTCTGTGGTAGAAGGAGATAACTTTGGATATCCTACAAAGAAAAAGCAGTATGTGTCACACATAATGGAGTACATTATGACAAAATATTGCTGCAGTCTTCTAAAAAGCACTCTTTGTTACCAAACAGCAACCTACCCAAATAGCTACCAAATAGCATCTCCTATGTAATACTCAATTATCGTTAAGCTGGGGTGGCCATGGCAAAGAAAAACAAACTCTTACTACAATGTATTAAATCCACTGCAAGTGCTACGGCAAGAAAAAAAAAAAAAAAAAATTAAGTTAGTGGCAGAGACTGCGGGAGTTACCAAGGATTTTACATCAGCCCTGGTGACCTCATGCGTTGTGCAGCCTTGGCAAAAGCAACAAAACTGGCACTGAGCGTGTTTTCCCTGCTTCTGTAGCCAGCTGGAGGCTGCAGAGGCCCGTTCACAAACGGCCTCTGCCATGAGCCCATTCCCAAGGGCAATAGCAACAATGGGCACTCACAAAAGGCTGAAGGTGGCTGGTAAAGTGCAACAGATCTCTGCCAGCCCTAAGCAGTTTGGTTCTCTCACCTGGTGCTCCAGCATACCCTTCAGCAATGGGCATGGTACTTTGCCCAGCCTGACCATCCACGCTCCTAAGCCGACCTCTTCCCGACATTAAAACAGTGCCAGGAGGCCCGGCCTCTCCAGTCTCCAGGATGATCCCGGTTGTTCCAGGCAGAAGTGGCAAGACTCCTGACCCCGGCAGCGCTGGGCGCGGAATTGGTCTCGGCTGTGGTGGCTGGAGGGGGGTCCTCTGTCGCGGCGGTTGTATCCTCGGCCGTGATGGCAGCAGGGATATGCCAGGTTGGGGCTGCAGAGGTGGTCTTGGTGGCAACGGCTGCTGTGGTACTTCTGAACGCCCTTTGAAATGTTGAAAGAAGAGGAAAGATACAGGATTACTCACCGAAAGTAGTATATAAAATTCAGTATTTTTGAAAAAATAAAAAAAAAAAAAAAAATGAAACCAAAAACCCAAACACAAAAACCCCAACTTTAAAACAAAACAGGACTCAATTTGAGGTCACCTTTTCTCTCAGACCCAAGACTGCACTGCCAAAACTCCATTCCACTCTCGCAGTACTACAGATTCCCCTCTTTCCCAGCCTGTGACACAGGGAAAGGAAAGAAGACAGCTGAGACAGGACAAGAAGCAGTAAAGTAACCCGTGAACATTCACCCTCCAGACCAGCTTTGACTTTCTGCACCAAGAGGGCTGTGTATCACACCTACTCCCACCAGTGTCTTCATCTCCATTGCGTGGTCTCTCTCTACCTTCACTGCAGTTCTCCGGAACCCCTCCTGCCCATCACTCCGACTTTCGACTCTGTACTCACACATCACCTAGCACAAGGCTGACCCTTTAGCACTACCATAAAGAAAAGTATCCACAGCAAAAAAACCTGAGCATATGAACACCGACTTCCAGATTTTTTTCCCCTACTTTGAAAAGAAATGAACTTAAAATTCCAAGTACTCTCATTACTAATATTTTCTGACAATGAAGGCAGAACCTTAGGATATAATCTACCAGAAAGGCCTTTATTGTTTGAAGAGAAGAGATACCATTAAAAGACTTTTCCAGTAGGGCAGCCAACACATATGACATCAGGGTTGAACGGTGCTGATGGTTATATTTGTGTATCTGGTCCAGTTCTAAGCCCTTTATAGGAACCACAGCTTATTCATAAAAATTAAGCCCCAGATGACATTTAAGAATGCAGTGTGCTCCCAGGAATGAAGTTAAATTACATCTATATTAAGAACAGAAACTTAAAAATGTGTAGATTTCAGCAGGTGCAATGACAGCTTTTACACAGAACAATTAGAATTTCATTCTAAAATAAACATTAGCATTGGTTATTTTGGTTGCATTTTGAGACTAGAGCATGGTTTTAGGTGCAGGGATGGAAGTGAGTTTCTGGGGAAATGGACAAACATCCCCTTGCAAATTTATCCTACGCAACTTGTCACACCAGAGATGCCATGGTCCACAGTGGAGACCAGTGCTCTGAGTGGTCAAAAGGAAGCACCTTAATTCATCACAGCCCAAAATCAGCCTGTGTAAATTCATCAGTAGCTAGGGCCAAACCGAACGGCTGTGCCTAGAAGCAGACGTGGTGCAAGGCTTCCCCTGGCTCTGCTGCACAGATGGGGACCCCCCAGGAGGGACTCAGGCTGCACTTTTGGGCAAAAGCTTAAAACCAAGTCATGCAGGTATTGTCCCTGACGCACCGCTGGGGTCCAGGCAGTGTCACTGGCAACCCATGTGTCATTTCGTGACTACTTGACACCTGCACTTTACCCTTGTGAATCTCGTTTCTTTTTTTCAGTCTCATAAAAAGTTCACGTAAGCCTTCCAGAGTACTGAGAGGCTGTCTGAAGTCATAGTCCTGCACCACCTGCATTCATTTGCTAGATACGCATGTGAGAAAAAAGTCTTCCTAAGCTTTGCTGGCTGACTTTTAACTGTCATGAGAATTGAAACAAGCAATGCACCACAAAGCTGGGCTGAAGCTCACTCGGTAACTCTACACAAAAGGCAAAGGACTAATGAGTGAAATGTTCACTTTATACAGACTAAAATCATCTTCATAAAAATTCCAGGATTAAAAAATCTCATACAAATTTTCCCCAAAAGGCTTAAAGTCTCAAAGTGAATTGTTCAACAGAGTTGTTAACTTAGTCAGACATCGTCTGTCCACAGTGGCATAGATTTAGATGTTCAACTAAGATCTTCAGATTAAACTCATTCAAAACACCAATTGACAAAATATCTTGGGATGCACATACTTGTCATTTCTCTAGTTAGTTAATCTGAGCTTTATTAAGACAACGACTTGGGCTGACACAGGGAAAAGGAATACATTTATCTGCTTCTTTTTCTAAGCCTTTAAATAACAAACAACAGCTCAAATCCCATATCCTGTGCAAACTGCTTCCCTGCATGCAACATCAATACTGCAATATTCAGAATTACTAAGAACATCTCCACAAAGATAAATCCAAAATTAGCTGCCGAAAGCTCAACTTAAAGTGCCAGCAATCAGATATACATGGGTTGAGATGGAGCTGGTTTGCTACCTTTGCAAACCTTTTTAGCCTCTTCTACTGAGATGCATCATAGCAAGACAAACTACCACTAAATCACTAGATAAAGATGATAAGGCTGGAGCCACTCTATCTCGACACTGCATTCCGTAACACATGCTTTCAGTTCACAAGGCAATGAGAAAATGAACCCCCGATGAAGGCTGGGTTGACTCTAGCTGGACCTGCTTAAGCCTTGCTGAACAGCGGACAAAACAGAAATCTTCCCCATCATCTTCCCATCTATCTGAGAAGACAAAGAGCAGAGCTGAGGTCATTACACTGCTGAGAACAGTTAACACTGTCCTCAGCACTGGCATCCTTGCTGCTCTGGTTGTCATCACTGGTGTGACAGCTCAGACACCGTGTCACACAACAGCTTCTGCTCTGAGATGCCCATCTGCAACTGAAACAGAAGGAAAGCTTTCCCTCCTTGGCTGAAAATAAGAATGCTTTTGTTCCCTTCCCCCTCCTAAAAATATTTTATTTTATTCAGTTTGTCCAGCCAGGCAGCGAATGATTTGCTGGGAAGGAAGATGAGCAGAGATGCATGAGGCAAGTGGATCTTCAAGGTGTGCCTGCTTCCAGTGTCATTCTGACCCAACCATTCTCTCTTCAGCCCCCAAAACACACAGAAACAAAATATGTAAAACAAACTGGCAAGTAAAGGAATCTGTGACTGCACTCACAAGAAGCCAAAAAGACCTGACTTGAATTTTCATATAGATATGAAAGAGATTTGACAATTAAGTTACAAAGTACCATTTTGCACAAGCTCACAGGGAGCCTAGAGGAATCAACTACATGACTATTCGCATTACACCCTTTATTGATGCTGTAATGCAGAGCATATATTTGCTTTCTCAGACCATAACTGCACCAGACAATATTTTGAGACTGCTTTCAAATCCTGCTACAGAAACAATTACCAGAGGAATTGCAGTTCAGGTCAAGTAACCGTAACCAAAGCAAACTGCACTCCCAGCACGATATCTGGCTGCAAGACCACAATTCTTGATTCCTGGAAACTTCATGAATCTATATGAATAGGCAGAGTAAGTTAAAGAGACCATTAACTTTAACATGGCTTTCAGTTTCATGCCATTTGAAGAGCAAACGTACCCACAGAGAGGCACACAGTGCAGTGAGAACAACTTATCCTGCAAGATGTGGAAGCTGGGGGTGGTCACCATTTAATGTGGATGAAGAGCTGCTGGGTTACATTACTTCGGTGACCACGTTGTGTGTGGTCCCCTCTGCACTTAGGGCAGACCACTGCCGGCCGCCACCACTGCCTTGTGCACGGCAGGATGCTGCACTACCTTCACCAGAAATTATAACAAATTAAATACTTTTCTGGCCTCTGGGTCCATATCTGATGTACAGTCATCCACTAACTTGGCTTGTTAGTTTGGATTGAGGCTCTTGAAATCCCTTAATAAAAAATTGGAAAGAAAACACAGTCATATTCCTAAAAATCAGAGTAATTTGATTTTGCTCAGCTTTACAGTGCACTGTACTTACACTGCTTGATAAGATTTTATACTGTATTTCTTGCAACATATCCTTGCCTTACTACCCCCAACAACTGTTACTAGTAACAATTTGTTTCTGTTTCAGCCCTTCCAAAGTTAAATGACATCATTTTAATGCTACGATACACTGGCAAATAGCATGTAAGAAATTCTACACCGATCTATGGCCAGGACTGACAGTCTTCCTTTCAAATAACATCGGTATTGGAAATGATGCTTCAGATCACAGATATAAAAATAGTTAAAGCCATACCCCAAGTCACCTAACAGGGTTTCCAAACTACTTCCAAAAAAAGCTCTTTTGCCAAAATCTTTCTGCAACTCCAGCCATCAAAACTTACTTGGCTTGCTGTGCCAGACAGTGTTACTGTAATTAGAAACATCTGGGGAGTGAAGCATGTGCTTCACGAATCCCTCAGAGGCCAGAGGCACCCTAGAGCAGTGAGGGATGCTCAGAATGCCTGCACCCCAAATCCAGCAGCAGCATCCTTCCATGGGCTCTTAACACCCAATGGTGGATAGAGAGCTCTGCCCTGAAACGGCATTATTTTATATGGAAACCCAGGCACGCTGAGGCTTTTTTTAATGCTTTACAGCATTGTAATAGGGGCTGATAAATACAACCCATGAGACTGCTCGAACACCTGCTTTAAACAGCAGAAGATTACTGTGTGTATCTTGGACCCTTCTCCAATGTTGGTCCCTAGTGCAAATTTATTTTGGGCAAGATGGATGAGAAACGGGATTACATAGATACATCATACTGCATTTTAACAGGGACTGGGTCTGCTTCTGCAACATCTAGGGGTGAAGGTCCTAACCCCGTTGAATTTAAGTCAAGAATTCACCAAAATAATTATCTGAGAATTATGGACACCCTCCATTCCCCTTCATTTCTTCCTTTAAAGGAAGAGAAATGTACTTTTTTTTAATTTCACACAAGGGCTTCTCAGTTCAGAAGGATTTTTGTGTCAAGTACTGCAATACATTTGGTTTTAAACAACTAAACACTCAAAAGAAACAAATCTATCACAGGCTTTCAAGTCTCTGCTTCGGAGTGAGAAGGATATTCTTCCCTAAAGAAATTACTTTCAGACCCTTCATGAAGCACGACTTGTTCATTCAAGCAAGAGCACTCACGGTCCTGCATCTGATCTCCCCCCGCCACCATCAGCTGCAACAGCCCACAGGCTCTTCCCTCGGCACCTCTTCTTCTGGTTTAAGGCCAGTCACAGAAATTTGCCCCTTACTTATCTCATACGTGCACAGAATTAAAACCAGAAGCATCAACAAACTGAAGAGTGCAGTTTCAAAACAGTCTCCAATTCCTATGCTTTTGTGTCAAGCTAACAGGAACTCCGCTTCCTTCTGTAAACTCTGATTCTCTCAGAAAAACAACTCATTGCTGAAATTCAGAGCAAGAACTGCAGAGGGAACTGAGTGACGTTTGGCAAGGTCTCTACACCCTCATGGCAAGGTTCATCCACACGTTGAGGTTACCATTTCACAGTGGTTTGAGCCAAAGGGAACGTGCCTCTGCTTCTCAGCCACTGCAATGCAAACTTTAAACCACCTGTGGAGGTAGATTTGAGCAAACGTGTTGGGCTACTAACAGAAGTGGCTGAGGTGTAAAAACACTGCCAGCTGTGGTGTGCACCTACTGCCAACTTGCCGACCACATTGTGGGAATGCAAACTTCTGGGAGAGCCAAGAAGCAGAAGTCTTATACTGCCACACCAAGATATGCCAGAGCTTGTTTGCAAAAGTCCTAACTCAGTCGGTGCTGAATTATAATCATTAACTCATGCTAAGAACAAGACTTGCAGGGAATCTTTCTTATCATAAATTTGAATTCCTTTCACTCCAGTTTTCTCCATTTACTTTTCAATTTCCCCCAAGGAATCAAGAATAATCTCACACAACAAAATAAAACTAAATAAAAAAATCAAATCAAATGAACTGAAATAATACTCACACTACTTAAAACCTCACTTTAAATTCACTACCCCAAAATACTAGTTTTCCCACTCTTTATTCTGGCTCAAAGTAAACATGAAAGCATGTAAGATGCTTTTTTTTTTTTTTTTAAGAATACTTGTAAAAGCACTCAAAGTCCCCTACGGCGTTCTAGAGCAAAAAGCCAAAATTATAGTCACTAAAAACAAAGTCAAAATTGTGTAATATTACATTTTTTCTCCCTTGTTTAGTTCATTTATAAATAATTCAGAATAGAAAGCCAGTTGAAAATCAAATCAAAAAAGCATTAAAAAAAGTAAAAATACTTACTTGTGTCAGACTGAGATTTCAGCATGCCCTCAATGTCTGTGGTGATTTTGGAGACCTGACTATAAAAATGTTGAACAGAATTTTTGAGGCCAGAAATATCAGTGGAATGAGATGCTATAGTTCCATTTATTTCACGGATGCAGTTCCATAAGCTGCTCACGTGCTTATTCAGACCTTCTTTTATCTTCTGCAAGCTGCCTGAGACAGAGTCCAGCTTGCCGCAAACTTTTTCAACACGTGAGACTCTGCTTTCAACATCTGAAACACCCTCCCGGATACCCTGGGTCTTTTCTTTGCACTTGCTAAGATCATTCAGGATATGGTCATTCAAGTGTTCTAGTCTCTCTTTCACTTCACCACAGCAATTATCACCGGGATGAGCAGTTTGATTTGCAAATGTCCTCTGCATTTGATCAATTTTTCTGAAGACACCTCGTTGTGTTTTTCTGCAGGTAGTATTGACACCTAGAAGCTGTTCCTTGCAGCTACTCAAGCCATCTTGAAGATTTTTCATATCTTTATCCATGACATTTAGACTATACCGGAATACACGTACGTCCCTCTGCATTTTCTGGATGTCACGCTGGTTACCCTTAGCTAAGCTGAGTTTCTCATTAAGAGAGCTATTTAGAGACTGCAGGAGAACAGAGTTATGCTCTGTTTTCAAAAGCAAGTTATTGTATTTGTTGTTACAATTTTCTAGCTCTTTCTGAAGGTCCTCTGTACCTTGTGGTGCTGACTGACATTTCTGCCCACAGAGGTGTTCGAGTGACAGTAGTTTGTTCTTCAGGAAATTAATCTCTGCTGTAAACTGCTCATTTGCAAATCCTGCGTCACTGGGAAAGACAGGTCCAGGATTAATAAACATTCCATCTGGGTCTGTGGTATTAGCAATCTCTAAAATAGTGCCACCGAGCCTATCTTCTAGTGCCCGCAGCTTTTGGTCAAACAAGTCTCTCAATTCATCCACCTCAGCAGCTATAGCACCGCGGAGGGTTTCCTCAACGTAAAAGCAATGTTCTTCAGCATTTCGTTCCGTAACATTCATCCTCGCATCTAGCTCCTCCAGCCTCTCACCAAGCATGTCTTCTAGATCTGGAGTTGACAATCGAGTGATTTCGTTATCTATTCTGACATTCAAGATCCTGTGTGCTTCTGCAACTCTGTCAATCTTCTTATCTAAATCTTTTATCTGTTGGTCAAAGTCATTTCTCTCACCCTCCTTGCAACAACTGGACTTGTTTGATGGAATCTGAGTTAGGAGAGTATTTATTTCTTTCCTCAAGTCATTCTGTTTTCCTCTTATAACATCAATTATTCCTAAACAGTTATTTTCATTGTCATCACAGTACTGCTGGATATCCTGTAGTCTGTATTCACAGGAGTTCTTCAAATCTGCCATTTTATTCTCAAATCCTTCCAGTATTTCCTGTCTGAGGGACTCAAATTTTGAGTCTATATACTCCTGATATATATTGTCACTGGGCATTGTTATTGTAGGTCCTTGTGCTGCCTCCTGCAGTTGTTTTAATTGTCCTTCATAGCCTTTTACTTTTCCATTCAGTTCCTCCAGCTTGTCATTCCTCATCTTCAAGGCTTCTTTGACCTCAGCTAGCTCAGATTTTATATCTTCCATTTCAAAATCAATAAAAGGGTCTTTTTGATCTTTATTGCTGAGGAGTCCAGGCAGATGAATAGTGTCTGTTTCACCACCAACCGCGCTATCAGGCTCTGGGCGGTCATAAAGGTTGTTCAGCCAAGTGACCAACATCTTACTAGCATCTTCTTGGACAGTCAACTTTAGGTTTTCATTCACACCTGCCACTGAGGACTGAAGTTCAAGCACTGCTCGTGTAAGTCTAAACAATTCATCCTCAAGAAACTGCATTTTCTTCTCATATGGTGGAGGTTCTGGCACTTCTGTTGGTTCTGCATCTGTTTCATAGAAATAACAAAGTCTGGATGTAAATATTCCCAGCGGTATCTGTTTTAATCACATAATTTAACCGTTTTTTCAAATCCAAATATGATTTAAAATGCATAATGCTTGCTCCCTTTTCTAGTCTTGTTTTCTGTAGCTTATCATTAAAATGTTATTAAAACACTAAAAACTAAAAGTTTTAGCACATTGACCAACTCCTGCCAAAATACAATTGCAATAAATAAATTAGCAATGAATCTAACCTATAACATATATAACAGACCACTATAGATCCATACACATCACAACACAATCACCTTAGAGCCACTGCATCTCCTATAGCAATAATGTGGGAGCTGCTGCTCCTGAATTCCCACTGAAAACTTTAGTGACAATAATTTATGTGCCTGAAGTGGGTTTGTGCTCCAGTATTTTGCTGAACTGGGATCCAAATGCATATACGGGATGGGGTTCTGCAAGATACTTCAGTTGTCATATTTGCTTCAAAAATACCTAATTATTTTACACGTTTAAGTAGGCAATAAAAATGTGTATAAAAGCATAAGCTTTACATATCGAAAATTGTTAGATTAAAATAACACCAGCACTATCCTCACTGAATGAAAAAAAGTAAAAGCAGACTTCCAGCTGCAATCTACGTTTTACCTAGAACAAATCTATTAATGAATCTGAAACCATCCTTCCAATCCGTTTCTCACTGGCAGCACCTCATTTGCAGTGCCACGTACAATCCTGGATGCTCAATTTCAATCAAAACGTGTAACAATTGTAGAAAATCCATAAGAAAGAAAGAAATATTATCAGAAGTCAAGAAACTACAAACTGCAGGAAAAGTCAAAGCAATTTGTTATTTAGGCTGGAGGAGAGGAGGATGAAGAGTGATATTCTGAGAGACATCTGCAAACTGGTGAGGAATAAACTGTTTTCCGTATCTGCTACTGTTGGGACAGAACAAGAAGAATAGGCTTCAACTAGAGTGAGTGAGGGTGAGGCCTGACAGCTGTACAGAAAGTGAAATGACAGAAGGCATTGTTCACTGAGCAGCAGAATTTCCACCACTGGAGGCTGGACAGACAAAGCTGATCCTAGCTCAGGGGATGAATAAACAGACCCCTTAAGAGCCCTCTAGTCCTATTTTCTGGGATTCTCAGCAACAGGGCACTATTAAGTCAAAATATTGAGTGTGATCCCAAATAATCACCTAGCATTAATCAAACCTGCAGCTGGACCACCAATTGTTTTGGTTTAACAAACATTTAATACCACTTTAATATGTAGATCCACAGGACCATATTTATTTGCATACTCCCATATATCTTTACCATTATGCACAGAGGGGTACACTCTATAAAGACATCATGTATAGCCCTAATTGGGATTTTGCATGATACCTTTTATGCAATGCATAATCCAAAGACCTTTGCACAGTCAAGGCACACTATTGCAGACATAATAAAAAGTAAATGAAGTTAAGAAACAGAAGCAAAGAAGAAAATATACTTCAATAAATATGACAGAAAATAGACACATAAATTGTTAGCATTAGAGTAACTCTTTCAGATGACAAGTGGTGTTAACAGTTAAATCTTCAGACAAAAAATTTTTAGCACTGGTGTCAAGCTATGCATGCTAGATATACAGTGGAGAGCAACATGAGATGGGGTCTGAAGGACATGCAGTTGGAATTTTTCTTAGTTTTAAACTGGATTTCAGCATAAAAACATTACAAAGAAGGTAAGAAGTCACAAATGTACTCTTCAGGACTGTCAGGGTGGCTGATTCCTTTAATAATAAAAACATACAGACAATAATAAAGACACACAGAATGTAGCTATTACACACACACTGGACTATTTCTGAAGTGAATTACAATTCTTTTAGGGTCAGAGTAGAAAGAAAATCTCTAGACATAAGCAGAGTGCAAGTTACTGGAAGATATCACTGTGGTTTATATCATCTTTTGGAAATAATATTTTAGGTGGGCTAACAAAGTATTTTAAAAGCTTATTTTTAAAGTAGATATATAATCTATAGGACTGGTTTGAAACCATGTATTCAGTCCCAATCCATTCCACTACACAAGAAACACAAGTGGAAATCTGACTGAGCGCTATACATGACACTAATGACCAATGACATTGGGAAAAGCCCTTAAGAAGGAAACATGTTTATCATTTTTTGTTAATGCAGAAAAGGCGTAATACTGCAGTAACAGCATTCCTTCTTGCCCTTTCAGAAGAGAGTATCTTATACAAACAAACATCATTCATTCTTTAAGGTATTTTTTTCAGAAATCAAGGCTTATCATTCCCTTACTCCTTAGTATTGAGGCAAGTAATCTAACATGAATCTGTAAAATCAGCACAAGCCCTTGAACAAAAAAAAACACTGTGAAACTGCTAGGGAGCATTATATATCATTATAATTAGTACCTGTTCTTTTTTGTTTTAATAATAATTCCCCTCGGATTTTTTTTTTTTTTTTTTTGCTGAACATTGAAGAAATGACAAAAAATCCCCTGTAAATTCTTACAAAAAACCCAACCATAATACAATGATTCTCCTGAAGTATGAGTAGCCAGCTAGCATTTACAGCTAGTGTTCTAGATCCACCCCTCCACTATTCTTCAGAAAGTTTTCTGTATCAAGACTGTCACTGCCTGGCTATTATTTTCCCACCATGCAGTGTCTTCCATACGGTTTTTGTACCTGCCAGTAGTTGAGTTTAACAGAAACCATAATGGTTCTTGAACTTAAAAGACAAAAGAAGAAACCAGACATGATCATGCATACCAAAATTCAAACAAAAAGTTACCCAAGCCTTTCTTCACAACAGCTTTTACTGGTGGTGTGGGACGACGAGCAGTGTTTGGCTTTTCTGCTGGGCCTTCTCTGCAATCTTCTCCTTTGTACCCGGGACAACATCTCCACTCCAGTTCTGTTACTGTCTTATATGCAACTGTGTACCGAGGTCTGAAACTCGTTCGGTATCTGCCAAAATGGAAAGCATCTTAAATGATTTGTAACCTATCTGCTCTTTAGATTAAAGCTAAAATTAAAACACAGAGTTTTTTAAAATGAAAATCAATTACTTTCATCTATGATTAATTTTCTCCTTCAAACATCGAATGAACAAAAGTTTCAGTCTCGGATTTAAAGTTAGCGGCACTCAACACAGTCATGTCAAGGACAGCAAATAAGGCCATAGAAAAGGGGCCTTCATGGATGAGCAGAGAGATAACATTTGGGAACTGAAGATGCAACTCATTAGACACTGCTGAGAGTTAACAGTGACCACCAATGTATTACTCTATAAATTCAAAACATTCTTCCTCTAACTGCTTTTCATTGCAAACCCACCCACAGGGCTGCTCTGGCAGCAACTCTTCTGGACATCAAAAAATGTTTCTGTCTGCTTTGTCCTACTTGTCTTTCCAGAGTCTCCACTTAAACCATTCCTCGGAATTCGTATGTATGGAGCAGTCAAAGCTAGGAGGGATATTCCAGGGAAGGACAAAATGTTGAAAGCATAAGTCAGATAAGGACATGAAAGAAGGAATCAGATGAAAGGCCACAACCAATGAAAGGAATTAACTCTTTCCTGCTTCGTTAGTTAAGTTGAAGAGGGTCTTGCAGACAAACCTATGCACATGTTATGTACATACAACCTTAAGTTTCCCCGATTAATCACTCAAAAGTTAATAAATGGCAAACTGATTCTGGTTGTGCAATTTTCTTTAACCACAGGCTTCTGTAATTTTCCTTCAGTACACGTACCGCATGTTCAACTGCAGGCAGACACTGCAGCATCCCACCAGATCATAAGCAGAGGCTGTAATATTTTATAAAAACTAAATCAATTTAAGCTGCAGCTCATTTCAGGTTGAGAAATGAGGAAAATAAGTAAAACAGAGGTTTGCCACCTGAGCTTTATAAATTGGTATACTTGGAACACATAGAAACAAAAGTTACCCCAATTTCTCACATGAATTCCTTTCTCTGAACAAAACTAGTATCATACTACTAACCTCCCTATGGCATTTTCAGACCTTTTTTTCTTAAGATTATATCAAATTAGAACAACACTTTGTATCCATTAATGAATGACAGGCTCACTTCACAGCCAAAGTGTCCCTAAAGTAGTAAATACCAGCAGAGTAAACATAGGACAGCAGTGAAGGTCTCAACAGGAGCTCTGCAACAGATTTCACTCACGGCCTGGCTGGGCTCACAGAGAGTGTGTTTTGGGACAGAGAGAACACAGTACAGCATAGGCACCAGAAGCAGCCATGATATCACACACACACAAAAAAAAGATGCAAAATTCCTTATCGTTTAAAAATAGTCAGTAATCAGCTACCAAATAGGAAGTGTTAAATCTTACACTGAAACAGTTTCTATTGAAAGTCATAGAAGTAAGAGTTTAACTGTTACTTTTCAAAGCTTCTCTTGCCATGAGTGCAAATAATTGTTGAAATAATTCTGTATTTTTTTATTCAGCATCTTTCACCTTCAAAGACATAATTTTAATATAACGTCCCACATCTGATAACCATCTGCTGTCCCTTTTTGGTAAACCACTTAGCAAACTTGGGGCAAAGGGTCTAAAACGTTAACTACTAATTATTAATTTGTTTCTTTTCCAACCATATCTTTCCCAGTTCTGCCACAATATATCCTAATTTTTGCACTTGGGAAATATTCTGTTCTTTCACATTATTACTTTATCTATGACTTCTCATTTAAGGGGAAAAAGTTACTTTGACTAGAGACAATGGGGGCCTATTTTGGGGGCCAAAGAGTAGTTAGTTTATTCTAATAAGCCTCTCTGGATTCCCTTCCCCCGTGAATCTTCAAAGGCATGCAGAGGCAGGCGAGGCTGTAACTCTATTAGCTGCTCATAACTGCAGTGGTTTGCTGTGGTTGTCAGCTTTTCACATTCTGACTTGCAGCATGTAAACTCAGAGTGGGTTTTCAACCTTTTTTTACCTTTGCAACACCATATATGAAACAGCTGTAGACTACACTGCAGCTCGTAATTTCTTTTACAATTTTCACTGAAACATCTGCTGAATCCTGTTTACAAATGTAAAGTACAGACATCCCCAAGGTCAAGTGCTTTAAAAATTAAATAGAGGAGTGCAATGTAGAGGGCATCACTGGGAAGGAAAACATCCCGGCCACCCAGGAACTTCCTTTTCCTTCTCCCTTATCTAAAGTATTAAACCACATCTCATGTAGGTAATTTGGGTTTCATTCCTTTCCTTCCAACTAGCTGCCAGAGTCAGAGGAGTGACAGGATTTAGCTAGATGCTTTAGTGTTTTGAAGTGGTTTTGAGAGTCATTACAACCTCTCTCACAACCACCACATTACTGAAATGCAAACTTTGAACTTCCAGATCAATTTTCACATGCTGGAAACGGTTGTACATACTTTTCTCTGATTTCCATAAAACACTTAACTGCTCCAAATTTTGTGTGTGTTCCTCTCTATACTTTCTCCGGGCCAAACTCCTTCCTGAAAATTACAGTATTTTGACTCTTCAAACACCATTCACTTCTCTATTTTTTCCTAACAAAATATTAATAATATAGCTGAAACAAATTATATAAAAGGAATAAGAACTATTTTTATGCAAATTGTGCACTACTTTGCTCTAATTTTCCTTGTATCACTTCTGCCATACCTATCATATTTCTGACAAGTTTCTCTTTGCATACCTTCTCTGTAGTCATGTTCATCGATGCAGACACCTTCATATGACTTCAACACTCAAATCATAAGACATAACCAAATACAAAAGAATAATATAAACAAACTAAAATAAATCAAGCTTAGTATTTTTCATACGGACAAATTATAAAACTTTTCCATACTCCATCTTAAACATAAAAAATAAGCACGTTTGACATTTTCACTCTTTTTTATTTAATTGTTTCATGATCCTAATAGACATATAAAGTTTTAATATGACTTAATACAAAAATTACTTGAAATGCAGAAGAATCCTCCCATTCTAAACTATAAAATATTAACAATGTGTACCTACAACTTTTAAAATGTCATAGCAGTCTATCCCTTACAAACTCCTGCAAGTCTGAGAGCTCAAGTGAATACACAAACTGGATCTGTTTTGATTTCAGCTATGGCACATCAAATACAGACCAACCTGAATCCTAAACCACAATTTTCCTAGACCAAAAATAAGCTAGAATCAAAATGCTTCAAAATCTGGATGTAGAACAGCTTTCATATTTTACATCTTGAACTATGGTAACAAGACAGCTAGACTCATGGATGGCTCAAAAATTAAATTGGGATTTACTTACCAAGAACTATTGCTCCTCTGTACTGCCAGTCCAGCTGAATGAATCACACAGCTAGTCCCATTTCCTCCAGCAAGGCTAGTCACTTAAGGCTGGGAAACAGGAACTTACCCTAGCACTTTTCTAATTTGAATCCAGTCACATTAAAGTTTCTTAAAAATCACAGCTTCATTGATACAGCTTCTCTACCGATGGTAGGCTTCATACACAGTTGTGGAAGTTGCCCAAGCAAGGAATGGTGTCACTGTGCCAGCACCACCCCAGATGCACTGATAAATGACAGTCACCAGCCTACATCCAGCCCCAGGGAGATTCGCAATCATACAACACGTTTTTTAAAGCCAGAACTCCGCTCACTCAGTGGATTTCAGTGAAGGAGTTGGAGACTTCCAGGATTTTGCCAGGATGTAACAGTTGTAACAGCACTGAACAGAGTTATATTCTTGGTTACAGTTCTAACAAAACAAACCATAACTTTCTGCTAGGGATCACATCCTGAGAATAATTTGTGATTCTACATATTTTAATGATATAGGTCTGCGAGCTACTAGAATACAGAAATCAGACATGTCTTTGTTTACATCTGTGGTATTCTGAATCCATTTGCTTACTCACAGTCACAGCCAACACATAACATACAAACACAAACATACAAAACATACAAATGGACTCAGTAGCTAGAGAGACAAAATGTTGCTTCTCTGTGCAGCTGGGTAGAGTTACACGGTTAGAACAGAACAGGCCCAATTATCTTGTAGGTGTGAATCTTTACACAGTTACCTAGTGAGGCGATTTGGTCAAAAGTGTTCTCAAAAGTTTCGTCAAGTCTCTTAAAGAACTGACGTTCCACTTTAATGGCTGCATATGCTGGAATGTAATTTTAAAATAGTAAAACATTAAATCTTCCTCTGGGTGACTATTCAAGTAAGCGTAAATAAACACAGTTATTTTTACAAGTGTCTCAAAGGTATTTAAAAAAAAAAAAATCTTATGTGGTTAAAAGTTACATACAATACACAAGCATTTATTGTGCCTAGTCATCCCATCCTCTTGTGGACTTCCAGCCCAAGATGATGGTTATATATCCCTGTGGTGTATTGAGCTAAATACTACAAATTAAATAATTATTTCAGAAAGCATGAATAAAGAAAGGGTGACTTCTACAGTCTCTAATCTTTCCTCACAACAGAGAAAATCAGAACAGCTGGTTTTTAGGAGTCTTTCCACAACAGGCTTTTAACTACCAATAAGTATTACCTTCAGCATGAATTCAATATGCAGATCAAATGAGAAAACACATTCAGAATGCTAATGAAAATCTCCACTTTTAATGCCTAAGTATTTCATAGCTGAAATAGTCATACAGTGTGGCAATAGCATTCAAAAATTCCTTCTCTTTGAGAGAAAAGTATTTTCTTAGGAAAGTGCTTAATTAAAAATATGTCTGCTGCAAATGCTAGACATTTTGACTAGGGAACAAGCTACAATTTTCTCAGGGTGCTAAACCACAGAAGGAAGCAGTTAGCACTGATATTTGGAATGTCACCTAATAGCGATAAAACAAATCAGAAACATTTGGATGAAACTGGTGGGAAAACATATGGCTCAGTTCTGTAACTAGATATTAACATTCAACCTTTTGGGAAATGCAACGAGATAAGTGC